CCTGTGTCTGGGGTGTTTGAGTGAGTGATAAGTGTATGATGTCAAGGTAATAACATTTCTATCGTACATTTGTCTGAAATAGAAGAACCCAATCACATGATTTACTGAGACGACAAGATTCTTCATAAATTCATGTGTTTTAATTCAACTTGTGTCATGTGGGAGTTGGCTGTAAACACTGTTATTGTCCCTCAGCTCGGTGCCACAGAACGGAGCCCACTATGAGCGGCTGTTGGCCCCTGGTCAGAACGTCTCCCATGACGTCATCAGGGAGGTCCACTGCGACCCCTACTCCTCTGCTGCAGACCCAGGGCAGATGAGGAGGACCATCACCCTCCCTGAAGAGTGCAGTAAGTCCCAACCTGCATCAGACCAACCCTAACCCTCCAGACCAGACCGGGTTTAAAGGGAGAGCCCGGACCCAACCTGCATCAGACCAACCCTAACCCTCCAGACCAGACCGGGTTTAAAGGGAGAGCCCGGACCCAACCTGCATCAGACCAACCCTAACCCTCCAGACCAGACCGGGTTTAAAGGGAGAGCCCGGACCCAACCTGCATCAGACCAACCCTAACCCTCCAGACCAGACCGGGTTTAAAGGGAGAGCCCGGACCCAACCTGCATCAGACCAACCCTAACCCTCCAGACCAGACCGGGTTTAAAGGGAGAGCCCGGACCCAACCTGCATCAGACCAACCCTAACCCTCCAGACCAGACCGGGTTTAAAGGGAGAGCCCGGACCCAACCTGCATCAGACCAACCCTAGCCCTCCAGACCAGACCGGGTTTAAAGGGAGAGCCCGGACCCAACCTGCATCAGACCAACCCTAGCCCTCCAGACCAGACCGGGTTTAAAGGGAGAGCCCGGACCCAACCTGCATCAGACCAACCCTAACCCTCCAGACCAGACCGGGTTTAAAGGGAGAGCCCGGACCCAACCTGCATCAGACCAACCCTAACCCTCCAGACCAGACCGGGTTTAAAGGGAGAGCCCGGACCCAACCTGTATCAGACCAACCCTAACCCTCCAGACCAGACCGGGTTTAAAGGGAGAGCCCGGAGACCACATACAGTACATGTACATAGGACACATGGACACAGGCAGAGCAGCTTTGAGGTCCATTTGGAGGGAGAGGAAATGATGCCCATTTAAGGTCTGTAAAGTGGATGTTTTATTTTCCCAGAGACTGTTTTCATCACTTACTCTGTCGACGCAGACATCGTTCCCTTCGCAAAGTTCCTCCTCGCCAACGGGTTCACGCCAGCGGTCAGTACCAACAGAAACCAAACATCCACAGAGTTCTGAATTCTAATGCACCGCCTTTCTGTCCCTCAGATTGATATTTTTGACGGCCCGATTCGAAGCATGGACACCACCAAATGGATGGACCGCTATCTGAACGATGTGATTGGTTTTTAAAGAAATCTATAATAATCACAAAGAGAACCACAAACAATATCAAGAATAATAACAAACTAAAACAATACCTAAAACAAAATACATCATTTATGAGTCCAGAAACATCCAAAATTATGTTAATGTCTTAGTGAGCCACAGAACCGGTTCTGGCGGGCCCCAAACGGCTCGCAGGCCGCGTGTTTGAGACCTTACATAAATAAATAAGTGTTTGTGGTTCCACAGAAGTCGTTGTTGATCCTCGTCGTCATCAGTCCTCAGTACAAACAGGACGTGGAGGGACTGGGTCCGGACCAGCACCGGCTTCACACCAAGTACATCCACAAACAGGTGCCTCAGACAAACCCTGGTGATCACATGACCCCTTGGAGGTGGTATATACAGTACCAGACTCTGCAACTCTCATTACATGTAGCAACAAACTATACACATATAAATATATTTAGATAAAACATGTTTGTACAGCCCGACGTTTCAGACAGAATTGTTGATTTGCCAAAAGTAGACGAGAGAATGAGGAAGGTGTTCCCAGGATGCATCTGGTGCATTCCAACGGCCAACTCTGACTGTTCTCTAGATTCTTTTCTGCTCCGTGTTTTGTTTTTATTAAGGATTTGAACTGAATTGATCTCTTTTTTTCAAGAATAATAAATGGCTGTTGTTTATATTTAAACGATATTGAAGCATTTAAAGCAGAGAAACACGGCAGCTTCTTATAATGTTCACTGTGTGCTCCTGTGTCTCTGACCACTGTCCTGTCTGTGCGCTGCAACACTGACATTTTATCACTGTGGGACGAATAAAACATGTTATTATATGACTTGGACCATACGCGCGCTCTGATTGGCTGATTACCGGTCTGATATTTTAACATCTCAGACCGTTACCATGACAATCTGTCCGCAGCCCGTATCACACAAAACCAAGTCGGACATGAACATACTTCACAAATATCTCAAAAGCATTGGACACAGACGAGAGTCGTATAATAAAACATTTATTAACCTCGCTTGCTCGGTCTGTGCAGAGAAATATCAGACCTTGGCCTTTTTGCACACTGTACATTAAGGCAGCAGTCTGATATTTCTCCATACAGACCTGGCGCTCGGTTAATAAGCAGTTATTATCTTATTTTAGTTCTTACTGTGATTGCGAACTATGTCTTTGAACTCTACTTTATTAAACTGCTGAATTCTCTAAGTATTCACAGTAATAATGGTGTTATGGTTTTATTACAGATCCAAAACGAGTTCATCCAACAGGGCTGTCTTAACTTCCGGTTGGTGCCGGTGTTGTTTCCGGGAGCGACTTTGGTACGACGGACAGATGAGTGTCACTTCTGATCTGTGTTCATTCTGTCGAGTTGAAACGTTGTGGTTCTGTTTTTGCCGCATAAAGTGTAGCTTCTCATCACATTCTTTCAAAGTTTCACTGATTCATTATGAAGCAAAACTGTAAAGGAGCAGTCTGTACCCATGTGGCCAAAAGTGGTACTGCAGCCTCTCCCACTCTCCCTGACTCAGGTTGCCAGATATGCAGACGAATCCAGCTGTTTTGTGCCACATGGTATTTTACCAGTGAGATTAGCTCCACATGGTACTTTACCAGTGAGATTAGCTCCACATGGTACTTTACCAGTGAGATTAGGGGCTGTAAAACTAATTTAGAAATCAAAATATTTCGGCTGAACTATTGTTATCAGTGAAAGAAGAGCATGTATTATAGACGCCTTTTGACAGATTAGGGCCCTTTAATGATGACAGATTAGGGCCCTGTAATGATGACAGATTAGGGCCCTTTAATGATGACAGATTAGGGCCCTTTAATGATGACAGATTAGGGCCCTGTAATGATGACAGATTAGGGCCCTTTAAGGATGACAGATTAGGGCCTTTAATGATGACAGATTAGGGCCCTTTAATTATGAGAGATTAGGGCCCTTTAATTATGAGAGATTAGGGCCCTTGAATGATGACAGATTAGGGCCCTTTAACGATGACAGATTAGGGCCCTTTAATGACGACAGATTAGGGCCCTTTAATTATGTCAGATTAGGGCCCTTTAATGATAACAGATTAGGTCCCTGTAATGATGACAGATTAGGGCCCTTCAATGATGGCAGATTAGGGCCCTTTAATTATGAGAGATTAGGGCCCTTGAATGATGACAGATTATGGACCTTTAATGATGACAGATTAGGGCCCTTTAATGATGACAGATAAGGGCCCTTGATGATGACAGATCATCAAGGGCCCTAATCTATTATCATTAGGGCCCTTGATGATGACAGATTAAGGGCCTTTAACGATGACAGATTAGGGCCCTTTAACGATGACAGATTAGGGACCTTTAACGATGACAGATTAGGGACCTTTAACGATGACAGATTAGGGCCCTTTAACGATGACAGATTAGGGCCCTTTAATTATGACAGATTAGGGCCCTTTAACGATGACAGATTAGGGCCCTTTAACGATGACAAATTAGGGCCCTTTAACGATGACAGATTAGGGCCCTTTAATTATGACAGATTAGGGCCCTTTAACGATGACAGATTAGGGCCCTTTATTTATGACAGATTAGGGCCCTTTAACGATGACAGATTAGGGCCTTTTAACGATGACAAATTAGGGCCCTTTAACGATGACAGATTAGGGCCCTTTAATTATGACAGATTAGGGCCCTTTAACGATGACAGATTAGGGCCCTTTAATTATGACAGATTAGGGCCCTTTAACGATGACAGATTAGGGCCCTTTAACGATGACAAATTAGGGCCCTTTAACGATGACAGATTAGGGCCCTTTAATTATGACAGATTAGGGCCCTTTAATTATGACAGATTAGGGCCCTTTAACGATGACAGATTAGGGCCCTTTAACGATGACAAATTAGGGCCCTTTAACGATGACAGATTAGGGCCTTTTAATGATGACAGATTAGGGCCCTTTAATGATGACAGATTAGGGCCCTTTAATGATGACAGATTAGGGTCCTTTAACGATGACAGATTATGGCCCTTCTAATGCTGTAGGGCATCATGTAAATATTACATATTGCTACTTTAATAAACTATCAGAAATAAATGAGTATTTTTAAGGATAGAAATAGTTGCACCTGGTTAAAGATAAATTAGTATTTTTAAGGATAAATATAAAAACTGCAACACGAATGTTAAAGGAGACGTGTGACTGTAGATGTGTGTTTTTCAGCGACACGTTCCCAACTGGCTCCAGAGCACGAAGCTCTATCGCTGGCCCCAAGACGCCTCAGACCTGCTGCTGCGGCTCTTCAGGATGGAGCGCTACATCGTCCCGAGCCCTGGACCTGGACTCACTCTGTCTGTGCGTCCGCTGTGAGGGCTGTGGTGCTAACTGCAGCGTTCCCACTCATGTGAGAGCCAAGGACCTTCCTCCGGGACAAATGGGAATTAAACATGGATTAAAGCACTTCTATGACACTTCCAGCTTCTCCAGAGACACAGAGCTCTTTGGATTTGTGAAGATTCTGAACGGCTCATTTAACCCTCGCCTGAGTTTGAGTTGTGAGGAGGGGCCAATGAGATGACAAGATTATTAAGATTTAAGATTTGGAAATCGCTGTTGCATCTCCTGTTACAGAGCAGTAGGAATGAAGAAAACACAACACAAGATAAATTAATAATTCTACACTAAAATAATATAAAATCTCTGTATTTATCATAATAAGGAAGTAAATCTAAGCACTCCAACTGTAGCCTAATGAAGTTTAAAATCTCTGCTTACTTTGACTATAACACATTGAAAACCATTCTCCCACCCATTCTCTTACGCTTGATCCGTGGCTGCGTCGTGGAGGCAGCAGTTGAAGCAGAGACGTCCTTCTCCATACACACCGATACACACCTAACTCCTTCTCGGGGAATCCTGAGGCAGATCCAGACCAGCTGTGACACGTCCCTTCAGCGGGCAAGTATTAAGAGAAGCATCAATCCAAAAGTTGATCATTTTGAAGGCCTTTTTCTGAGGGGCATATGCTGTTGTTGACGTTTTTAACTTCAGCGCTGGTGTGGGATTTCTCCTCTACACTCCACTTACAAGTTCTTTGCCGTTTCCTCCTTACTTTACACAGTATTTAGGGTCACATTGTCAATCAGAGGACATGTGGATAATAGCATTGATTTGGTGTTGAGAGTCCTCCTTGGTCTTTTCACACCTGAAGCGTCTTGTATAACTCAGCCTTTTGCCAAATCAAACATGAGAGACTTTTGCCAAGTTTCTGAAAGATTCTTGACTTGAGGGTAACTCTGATGGAAATGACTGGAACAAGTATAACCTTGGTAATATATTAACTGTTATTGTGTCATTTCTTTGTGCCAAGTTCTTTTTTTGCCATATCAGATGTTCAAGATAATACACAAAATAATAAGTCATGACATTCATGTAACTAGTTCTTTGCTCTCAAAACAGTTCGGTTATACATGTTTTTATTTTTTATCTTTTTTTGCTTTATGCTTGTAACATATCTTTAGGTCAGATTTTTGAGGCAGGAAAGTGTAAAAGAGAAGACCATTGTGTAAAATGTAATTTATAAACCAGCTTTAAAGGGGGCTGCTTTTTTTTTTTTTTTTTGTTTTTTTTTACTCTTTATTTATGATTTTTCAAACGTTTACAAACATAAAAGTCAAACATACAATCAGTGGGGTACTACAAAATAAAAATTTACATCTCCAAATGAGCTTTGTAATGCGTCCACTTGGACCAACATTTCTGAAATTTGTTAGCTTTCAGTCTCAGGTGAAAAGTCATTTTTTCCATGACATAAATCTCTTCCACTGTGTCTCTCCATTGTTTCAATGTCAGAGGGTCACTCTTCAGCCAGTTTCTTGTTATTACTTTCTTGCTAGACATCAGCAATATTTTAAACAGATACAAATCCTTATTTTGAACATGACTCTCTGACAGAAGGCCCAGGTACACGGTGCGTGGCTCCATAGAAATGTTAAATCCAAATACCTTTTCCATTTCCATCACAATATTTTGCCAAAAAGGTGTAATATTCGTACACTTCCAAAACACATGAGAGTGATCGGCACTCCAGCTGCCACAATGTCTCCAGCACTGCTGAGGGGTTTTCAATTGTTTACTTTTAATATGTGGAGTGAGAAAAAATCTGATCACGTTTTTCCATCCAAATTCTCTCCATTGTCTCGAACTGGTTGAAGTGTGCTGTAAAAGACATATGGAGTGCCAATCCTCCTCTGACAATTCAATTTGTAATTCTTTTTCCCATTTCTGTTTGATATATAAGGAGTTATTCCGGGGGACATTTTGCAAGCATTTATATAGTCTGGATACAATTTTAGAGGGTAAACATCGATATGCTCCAATAATGATTTCCAATAGGTCACTCTTTTCCTGTGAAGTCTGATTTAGAATTTCTGTATTAAAAAAATGTCTTATTTGGAAGTATCTAAACAAATCGGATTTATCAAGGTCAAATTCCCGCTGTAATTTTCCAAAAGATTTAAATACTTTTCCATCCGTTAGTGTACACATAGCCGTCATCCCCCTCTTTGTCCATTTTGTAAATGTGCTATCTAATTGGCCACTTTTAAATTTTGGATTAAAGGCTGGCCACCCCAACAATTTGCATTCACCTTCAATTTTGCGTTCACTCACTACTTCCCACCAAACTTTTAAAGTTGTTTCAATGATTGGGTTATCTAGATCACCCGATTTACAAGTTTTATCACCCAATCTAATTTGTGGTGGACATGATGAGTAATTTAGCTCAATACGTTTCCATTTAGCATCATATTCTGATGAGCACCAGTGTACAATGTTTCTCAGTTGGGCAGCTTGAAAGTATTGTTTAAAATTAGGTAGGGCAAGCCCCCCACTTTTTTTATCTAGCTGTAGCGTTTTTAATCTGACTCTGGGTTTTGTACCTTTCCAAATGAATCTGCTGACTAATTTGTTCCATTTAGCAAATTGAGACTCTGGTATGTTTATTGGGAGAGACATGAACAGATAAAGTAATCTAGGCAAAATATTCATTTTTATGACCTCTATTCGTGAACTGAGATCCAAAACAAGGGAAGACCACTTTGTGAGATCTTTTTGAATTACATCATTAATGTTTTTGTAATTAACTTCGTATAATGCACTTGTTTCTCTAGGTAAGTAGACACCTAGGTATTTTACCTTGTTTGAGTCCCACTGCAGTTTGTATTCCTGTCTGATTGAATCTATAGGGCGATAATTAAGACATAGTACTTGAGTCTTGGAGATATTTAATTTATATCCAGACTTTTCTCCAAAGTGTTGTAGGATTTGCATTAATTGGGGGAAAGTAGCATCAGGGTTCTGGAGGAATAAGATTATGTCATCGGCAAAGAGTCCTATTCGATGCTCCTCCTTGGATATTGTGACTCCCTTAATGTCATCACTTTGCCGTATATGCTGAGCTAATGGCTCAATAAACAACGCAAAGAGAGCGGGGCTTAGGCCACAACCCTGCCTCGTACCTCTAGAAAGCTCAAAGCTATCCGTTAAGTCACCATTTACTTTTATTCTGGCCGTTGGCCTGTGATACAAGGCCTGGATACAATTTATAATGGCTTCATTAAAGCCCATTCTTTTCAGAGTAGCAAATAGAAAAGTCCATGAGACCCTATCAAATGCCTTTTCGGCGTCGAGGCTTAGTATAGCTGTCGGAATATTTTGTTTATTAATTTCATTCATTATGTGCAATGTGCGCCGTATGTTGTCTTGTGTTTGTCGGCCCTTTATGAATCCTGTCTGGTCTTCATCAATGAGGTCTGGAAGAAAGAGCTCAATTCTTTTAGTAATTATGGAGGTGAATAACTTGTAATCTACATTTAAAATAGAGATGGGGCGGTAGGACTCGCAATACTCCTTATTTTTGCCTTCTTTTGGTATAACTGATATTATAGCCTCCTTCCAAGAGGGAGGGGTCTTTGCATGCCGAAGTGTCCAATTGAAGGATTTTAAAATGATGCATATTAGATCGTCTTTGAACATTTTGTAAAATTCATTAGGATAGCCATCACTCCCTGGGCTTTTATTGTTCTTCAATCTTTTAATTGCTTTGTCGAGTTCTTCTCTAGTAATTGGTTTAGTTAAAGATTCATTTTGGATGTTTCCGATAGAAGGGAGATCTAAATTATTCAAATAATCTACTATTTCGTCTGCTGTTATTTGGTTTTCCTGGTCATATAGAGTTTTATAATAGTTTAGAAAAGCCTTTTTAATTTGTCTTGGATCATTTCTAATTTCCTTACTTACTGGATCTCTAATCTTATTAATTGAATTCCGCACTCGTAGTGAACGCAGACGTTTAGCCAATACTTTAGTCGCTTTAGGACCTGAGTCATAAAAAGTTTGTTTGGTGAATCGCATTTTCTTTTCAATGTCTTCGTTTGCCAAATCTGTCAATTGTTTTCTTACATCTCTTATGCTTTGTGCCATAGTATCACTGGTATCTATATGCTGTTGTTTTTCTAGTTGCCTCAATTTTGTTTCCAAATTTGATTGTCTCTGTCTTTTCCTCTTATTAATATGGGCAGTCCTTGATATCAAGCTCCCTCGCATTACGGCCTTGATAGTATCCCATATAATCGTTGGCTCTATTTCAGGATTATTGTTATAATTAATGCATTCTTGTATTTCGTTTCTAATTTCCTGTACAACTTTTTCATTGTTAAGAAGGCCAATGTTCATTCTCCATAATGTTTTCCTTTTTTCATTTTGCAAGTGTATAGTCAAATGTATGGCATTATGATCTGACAAATCTGCTATTCCAATATTACAGTCTATAACTCGATGTCTGTCTATGCTGTTCATCAGAAAAAAGTCAATTCGTGAATGAACTTTGTGGGCTGCTGAGAAATGAGTGTAATCTCTTTCCAGAGGGTGGAGGTCTCTCCAGACATCACAGAGGTCCAATTCCTTGATAAGTGAGTTTAGGGCTTTTGATTTATTGTTTTTGGATCTTTTATTACTTGTTGAGTCTTTTATGTGATCTAGGACAGTGTTCCAGTCACCGCCACAGATTAGTATCCCCTCATTCAGGCTGGAGATCCTGTCAAATATTAGTTGGTAAAATGTTTTATCCATTTCTGTAGGAGAATACACATTTATTAAATTAACCAGTGTATTGTCAATTCTCCCCTTCACAGCAACATATCTACCTTCATTGTCACAGTCCTCCTCCAGTATCTCAAAATTAACTGCATCTGAAATTAAAGTTATCACTCCTCTTCTCCTGCTATTTTTATGTGAACTGTAGAAAGAATTACTGTAACCAAACTTTTTGAATTTTTCATGCTCTTCTCTAGACATATGAGTTTCTTGAATGAATATGACTTGTGCTTTATCCTTCTTTAACTTTGTTAATAATCTACTTCTTTTTATGGGGTTACCCAGACCATTTATATTTATTGACACAACTTTCAGCTTAGTTCCACCACTCATATTGTGCAGTATTCAAAAATGTAGACCCCACAGACGAACAAGAACAACAGACAGGAACAAAATAAAAAACAATCATAACTGTGGTATACGAACGATACCTGTGACTCCCACTAGGTGGGGAAAGAGTCCTTTCCTCCTCGTCCCCGTTGGCAGGTCTAGGGTCAATGCCTCCTCGCTGGAGGGGCCCTAAAAAAGGTATGGAAGCTGGTTCTTCCATCCTAATTGTCCAACGTCTGGTCTTCAGGTGCTGCTCCTCTTTCTTGTATTAAATTGGCCATATTTCTGCAGAAATCAATACAGAAAAGCGAGAAGCCTATAATCGTTCGTCCTCGCCTCTTTGGAACTCTCTCAGTCTTTCTTTAGCCCGCTGCGCAGTGGATGTTATCATTTCTCTCCGTGGGCGTGCACCCCGTTGCCACTCCACGCACTTCTGAATCCTGGCCGCCGTGTCCTCGTCGCTGGTTGCTGGCACCTGCACGTCGTATCCCCGTCTCTGCAGCTCGCATCCCGCGTCATGCGCGCTTCTGTAAACTGCAACTCCATCCTGCCAGTGAACTCGTATGCTTGTGTATGGCGTTTGGAAGCGCACGCCTCTCTCCTTCAGTGCCTTCTTAATCACTTGATATTCCTTGCGCCTTTGGACAATCTCTGTAGCATAGTCGTGGTCAAAGTATACAGCATTGCCGTTCAGCTGGATCCGCCCCTTTCTCCAAGCCTCTCTCAGGATCAATTCTTTCGTGGTGAACTCCTGAAAGTTCACCACGATGGGTCTTGGCGGGGCACCGGAGCGGGGTTTCTGTGCGGGGACGCGGTGAGCCCGTTGTATCTTTAGCTCTATGCCCGTCAGAGGTAACTCGCGCTGGAGAAAGTCCGCCATGAATTGCATTACGGATGTGTTCTCCTCTCCTTCTCTCACTCCAAAAAGACGAATATTATTTCTACGGGACCTGGATTCAAGGTCAGTAACCTTGGATTGCAGGTTTCTTTGTCGTTTGAGGCATTCAGAGAGCGCCTCTGTCAGCACCAGTGTCACGTCCTCCACCTCGGACACTCGAGTTTCCGCAGTCCCCATTCGCTCTTTCAAGTCTTGTATGTCCTCAGTCACCGTATCCAGTTTGTTGCTCAGTTCCAGTTGCATTGTATTTATATTACTTCTCAGCTTTTCGTTGTCTTCTTTCAATTCGGATTTGAGTGACTCGATAGCCCGGAGCAGATCGCTCGTAGTGACTCCAGGCCCGGTTGCACTCGAGTTAGCTTGATCTGCTACAGGGTTAGCATCTCCCGATGGAGCGCTCTTTTCTTGCTTTCTATTCGGCATTCTGTAACTTCTTGGCCTCTACACGTTCCTTTCCCACCTATCAGTTATCTTTACCCAAACCGAGTCGCGTGTTTTCGAGTTTAGGTGGGAATTTATTTTAAATTAGGGAGCAGCCACCACGCTTTGGTCCGTCTCAGATCGCCATTACACCGGAAGTCCCAAAGGGGGCTGCTTTTAATCTTTGCATGTTATTTTCCATTTTATGTTTACATTTGTGTCTGCAGATAACGTCAACATGAACAGCTCATTTTTGGTCTTAATAAAAACACAATGGACGTTGAATGATGTCCAGAAACGTTTTCAAGTAGATTGTGTCTCATTTAGCTAGTTTTTCAAATTAACAACAAAAAAGCAGCAACACACATTCGTTTAATGAAAGCAGAAAAGATACCTTAAACCGTTTATACAGTTCCTACTTGAACCCCAGCAGGTGGATTGCGTCTGTAATCAGTGCGTTGAAGCTGCATGTATCACAGCTGTCCTGGGGCACACTGACAGAGGCGACCCCCAAAACCAACCATTCGCTCTTGTTTTGAAGAGGCCACCGGAAGCAGTTATCCTCACGAGCGTTACTTACTTCCGCAGATGTAGCATGTAGCCTTGTGAGCTAACCTGTTTACGGTTATGGAAGAGCGGACTCCCGGGAAAGTGGGACTCTCTCTACAATAGCTCCACCGCCTCTCACCAGCGGAACCAGCCCGAACCCCGGAGCCGTGAGCGGTATGGAGGTGTCTGTGCAGTGAGCGGCCGCGGTGAGGACCGGAGAACCGGAGAACCGTGCCGTCTCTGAGCCGTTTCTCACGGACAGACGCCCACGCTCACCGACAGCATGTTCGCTGTCCGTATCGTCACGGCGGACTATTATCTGGCCTCTCCGGTGAAGGACCTGGACGTGTGTTATTCTGAGTTCCGTGAGAGCGACGTGAGGAGGGTTCCGGTGGTTCGTGTGTTCGGAGCCACCGCCGCAGGTCCGTGATGTGTCTGTTCTTTAACAACATTGGAGCCGAACTCTGCTGTGATTCTGAGCAGGACATGTGTGACATCAGTGATCATGTTTAAAGTAGAATGATGAGGTTCTGACTCAGGGTTAGGGCCACGGAGCTGGGCCCCTCCGCGGCGTCTGGGCTTTGTTTTCGCTCCATCACGACACCGCGGACGGGCTCAGATCGGCCTGCTCCTGTGCAACTGTAGAATACAGATATTCTTCATGAACGGCCACCTGTGGCATTCATTCCTGACTCGGTGGACACACATGGTTCATACTGAGGTGAAGTGCTCATTATACCTGAATGACAACCTCCCAGTGATCAAAGATCTCTGACAAACTGTTGGACTTGTATCTAGAGGAGGGGGGCCGGTGTCCTTTGAAGTGTGTGTGCATGACCAATGGAACTGCATGCATGGGGGCCCATGCATACTACCTGGGGCCCCCAGATTTAGCCCTGCGGGGGAGCCTTAATTCCATCAGAGGGAATTCCTCCGGAACCCCCCAAGTGGGTCAGTCTCCATTGGCCTCTCGAGGAGTGTTTTTAATGTTTAAAAGTCCTCATTATCCCCTAGTGGTTTAAAGGACTAGTAGAAGAGTGTGTTTGTACTTGGGTAAATTGTGGAATTCATTTAATTGACACTTCACCGTGGAGACTGATTATTCTTTCTGTGTATTGAATTCATTCATACATTTTAAAGGAACTTTAAAATCACTTTAAAATCAATCCCTGTGTTGCACAGGTCAGAAGACTTGCCTTCACCTACACGGCATCTTCCCGTACATCTATGTTCCATACGATGGCCCTGAGCAGCAGTCGGAGCGATACCTGCGACAGCTGGCGTTCAGCATCGACAGAGCCCTGAATGTGACCATGGGGAACCCGGCCTCCAGCTCTCAGCATGTCTTCAAAGTAGTGCTGGTCTCTGGAATGTAAGTACTGCAATTTCTATTCTGTCAGAACAAGAAAGCCTGAAGAATTGGATTCAGTCAAAGATTCTTAAGGTCTGAAATTATTTTGTCTTTCATAAACTGTCATAGAAACTGTAAATATTAACTCTGTAACCCTCACTTTTAAGGACATTTATTAAGCTTCTTTTTCCTACGTTTAATTAGTTTTTTACTACACTGAATAAGCACAAATAATTTAGTTTATTACCTGAATATTACAACTATTTCATTCAATCTTGTTACTTGTTCAATTTAACTTGAATTTCAGTGCTCCATTTGTCCTGGAATCTGTGCTACAACACTGAAATGTTCTGTAGGACAATAAAGTTATAATACAAAGTGTGTCCTCCTGTCTCAGTGAGACATAGATCTGAGTGTCGTCTGCATAGTTGTGATAAGAGATGTTATTACTGTTTATTAACTAACCCTAAAGGCAGCATGTAAATACTAAACAGAAGAGGTCCCAGGAGTGACCCCTGTGGCACTCCGCAGGTCAGGGTCAAATGGCCTGAGACACAGTTTCCGATCCCCACAAAATACTTTTCACAATGATTCATTGTGCTTATTTCAGGCCTTTCTATGGATACCATGCCAAGGAGAAGTACTTTCTGAAAATATATCTGTACAATCCTCAGCTGGTGAAACGGTGAGTCTTATGGGATTTTCACACTTGTATCATGGCATTAAATACATAGAATAAAAGTTAAACGTAAACACCAACGGCTGTGTTGCTGCAGGGTGTGCGAGCTGCTGCAGAGTGGTGCGGTCATGAATAAGACGTATCAACCACACGAGGGTCACATCCCATACCTGCTGCAGCTCTTCATAGACTACAACCTGTACGGCATGAACCTGATCAACCTGGGGGCCGTCAAGTTCCGTGTCAGCAAAGGTATTTCCATCGCTGTCCGGTCTGGATGCTCAACGGAAAAATGCACTGGTCCATTTTTTATTCTGGGGGTAACGTGTTTTGAGGCAGTTGTTGTTTTTCTCCATTACCTGTTGGTTCAGTGTTGGCCTTATATTTGGTGCGGATTTTAGTGTCCCTTGTCATCCTGAACTTGTTTTCTATTGAAATCTATAATTTTTCTATAAATCCACACTTTAGTCCCGCAAACTAGGCTCGCTCTCTCATCCCTCTGTTACTCTGGTCCTGCAGAAGACCAGGAGAACCAGAGCTGGCCCGAACACATGTTTCATCTCTTCCCTGTAAACGTCAACAAGATTCTACAATTTTAAGATAATTAGTAGTTAATAAAAAGTCGGAGCAAGGTATTCTGCACGGATCACTCTTATTGCTCTACTATTGTTTATGCTGATATTTAACAACAGTTGAACCCGACAAAATCTCACACAACAAACAGACATTAATCTTTTACTTGTTACCCAGTACTGTACAAGTAGAAAATGTCTTGAAAGAGACCGGGCACAGAGCTCAGCCTCCCTCAGGACAGATCTGAAGCTCCAAACAGTCTGTAAGCTCCTTTCATAGTACAAGACTCACCTTCATATGCAGATAGGAAAGGAAGAAGCAACAGAGCAAGGAACAATGACAAGACCTTCCTTATTAGCATGTTCAAAAGCCTGATTTAACATGAGTCTCCCCAGACTTTCTGACGCTTTCCCAGAGCCAAAAGTGAATTGCAATACAAGCTTTCTACAATATATTTTAGCCACATAGGAATTAGGGGCGACAGTAGCTCAGTTGGTAGAGCATTGGCCTTAAGCCCAGAAGGTCGTGGGTTCAATTCCCACCTCTGCACCTTCTCCACCGACTCCCACTGATGACTGCTGTCGTTGTGTCCTTGGGCAAGACACTTAACCCCACTTTGCCCAAAAAAGCTCCCACTGAAAGATCAAGGCTATGCTCACACTCAGAGAGCAGCCCTCCTGTGGACTCACCACCTGCAGAGGGTCAGTGAGGGGCTGGTGCTATGAGACTTGGCATCTCTGACTGCCACCCCCCTGACCCAGAAATGGATTAAAGGGTAGAAAATGGATGGATGGATGGATGGAGGAATTATTAAAAATTATAACAACAACAAACAACATTCCAATGACAATTTTGCAATAGAAAGGTAGGTTGTGTATTAGTTTTTTGGGTATTTCCACACAGTAACATTTGCTCACTTCTAACCTAAGATTGTAATTCTTGTACAGATGCAGCACAGTCGGGTGATCACAATCCCACCAGTGTCAGCCCCTGCACCTCCAGACTGAATGACAGCCTGACAGGCCGCTGGGACGAGGCCACCCTGCCTTGGTGAGTGCAGTCCAGCTGCAGACGGTGTTGCGTCTGAAGTGATCTTGATTGGAGCGGTGTGTTTTCAGCTCCTTGGTCCTGCCTGGGCTGGAGAAGCAGAGCACCTGTGAGCTGGAGGTGGACGCAGTGGCTGTGGATGTCCTCAATCGCCTCGAGATCGACAGTACGTGGAGTCTGCTCTGGCCATTGAACCGTTTTCAATTTGGCAATGACTGTATTCAAGCAAACTGACTCTGGTGTGTGTTCAGACCAGATAGGCAGAAACCCGGGACTACAGGCCATTTGGGAAGACGAGAGGCAGCGGCGGAGAGAACAGAACCAGCCCTCACAGATCGAGACTCCTCACTCACAAGGTCGGTCTGGTCTCTGCACAAACCTCTGTTCACTGAGCTCTTTTTTAGATCATTGTTAGCTACTGTAGTATTTGTACTGCACGGTCCATAAATAATCACAGTACATTTAAAAGAGTCATATATACAGCTAAACAGAAGTGTTCCTGGATTAGAACATTGTCAGAGAAAAAGCCTGTCACTGTTCCAAATTTGTAGCTGTATGTTTAATGTCACGTTTGCATGAAAAACATTTGTGTAGTCTGATCCTTGTATGGACGTGTTCACACTTGGTCTGGATCACTTTGAGAAAAATGCTTCACAAATCGGTTTCCAAATGCTTAATTTATGGAGATGACTTAAATGACCGCTGGTGGTGGGTACACACAGATAATGTATTTCTGCACAATTGGTTCAAGACTCTTGGTGACATAGGTCCATCCATCCATCCATCCATTTTCTTCCCTTTAATCCATTTCTGGGTCAGGGGGGTGGCAGTCAGAGATGCCACCCAAGTCTCATAGCACCAGCCCCTCACTGACCCTCTGCAGGTGGTGAGTCCACAGGAGGAGGAGGTGACAGAGGTGTATAACTTAAAAGCTCCCACCACAGTAGTATGTTTTATTATTATTATTATTATTGTGAAGTGACCAAAAAAGAACTGATATATGTATTTTTCTGGATTCTGAACGCTCTGGACATTGTTAATGGTTTCCTCCTCGCAGATCGTGGATTGGTCACTTCAACAGACTGTGAGAGAATTTTCCTCCAGAGGCTGAGGGAGATTTTGAAGGAGAATGACTTTGATATGTACGTATGTTTTACAGTCTAAACTTTTACTATTTCCATTTTTAACAACATTGTGCATGTGTGGGATGGTGCAATGCTTTTGACGGTGTGTGTACAGTCTTTGGTAACTCTGTGTGCTCTGATGTGTGCACAGAACGCAGCAGTCAGAGTCAGAGCAAGAAGACTTTGAGCTCACCATCCACTCGGAGACTTCAGAGTTGCTTCCCTGCACACCTGCCAACGTGCTGGAGGCTCACCAGGACTCCCAGCCAGGTATGCAGCCCTGCGGTGCCGTCATAACGCAGCACTCTGACCTCCTCTTCTCTCCAGACGCCACCAGGAGCCGCGGTTTGCTTCCGGAGGAGGCTGTTGTGGACGAAGAAGCCATCTTGAATCTGCTTGAAAACAGTCAGGACTTCTTTCAGTTCACCCAGACCTCAAACCACTCCGGCCAAATGCCTGGTGGTAAGTTATCCACTGTGGACTGGACTATAAGCCCGCTGCTTTTTTCAATGTCTGATCTCTGCAGCGACGGGGCCAATGTATTTATTTACTTTTATATGTCATGAAAACCTGAACTCACACCGGCCCTTTTGAGGACCGCTTTGACACCCCTGGTTTATGTGAACAGTAGAGAGCCAACAAGGAAGTGTTGGGGAAATACACAGGACTTGTTTGTTTGTATTAGGGCAATAGTTAAAGGAGAGTTTATGGACGTATTATGTTGCCCTAGTTTTAGTAAGAATGTTATTGTTGTAATAGATTGGATTTACCAGAGACCTTTGTTGTGCCTGGTTATAACGGTTGTGTTTCAGTTTTGTTTTGTTCCATCAGCTGTTGGATAAGTGGTACATTACAACATGAAAACCTGCGGCTTATATTCAAGCGTGGCCTGTATGTGGACAAACTGACTCTCTTCACATGTACTTGATGTGCCAAAAGTTTAAGAGAAAAATACTGCAAATGACAAATATTAGTTCTTTAATAAACATGCTTGTCCTTGTTTATTAAAGGATTTTTATTTGCTGTCAAGACTTTCTCATATTTCCTCCTTTCTCCAACATATTTGTGTTTAATAATCCAGCAGGTTTTGTACATAGAAAATTATAATTATGATATCAACGGCTTATTAACCGAGCAAGCGAGGTTAATAAATGTTTTATTATATGACTATTTTTATTTATGCAACTATCGATCTCCGACTTGGTTTTCCTAATCGTGTTTTTAGTTTTCTGGTCTGTAACGAAGTTGTCAATCTCATCTTGTCTGTTAGTTTTTTTTTTTTTCTTCGTTATTTTCTGTAATTTCTTCCTCTGGCTCGTCAAACTCGTCCGATAATAGAATTCACTGAGAATGCTCCCAGTTGTCGCCCATTATTTCTTTTTTTACCGAGGAAACTCAGGAAAGAAATCTATTGTGATACGCGCTGCGGACTGATTGTCATGGTAACGGTCTGAGATGGGAAAATATCAGACCGGTAATCAGCCAATCAGAGCGCGCGTACGGTCCAAGTCATATAATAAAAGTGTTTATCACACTAAAAGACCTACCAGACTTTGAAAGAGTGTGTGTCCCTACAGTTAATCTGATTTGTTTTATTCAGTTTAATCACTGTCCCTGTTCCACAGACAGCTGCCAGGATCGTGCCATCATGAACCTGTTGGGAGGCCTGGAGGATGACGGCGGCTGCAGGACTCAGCAGTGCTCTCCTCCAGAGGCCTTCTCTGGCCTCAGGAGTTATCAGTGCAACAGTGATGAAGAGGAGGAGGAGCCAGATGTGGACAAGGAGGACGCCGAGCTCAGTGCCCTCATGTCCCAGTGTTGGGACAGCCCGTCGTCCGATCTGTTTCATCGTCCAAGGTTCAGTGTTATTTATACTTCAAATGAATAATGGGTTTATTAGAGAGTGTGCCGTATTACCGCCCTGTGTCTACACGTGCTGGAACCTTTACCTTGTGGTTGCCATTTATCACATGCTACAAGTGATCAGTGTGAGAAGTGCTCTATCACAATTGGCTGCATTCCAGGGATGTTTGAAGCCTTTTGTCTTTGGTTTTGACAGTGTGACCAGAGAGGAGCCGCAGGAAGCATCCGACAGTGAAATGGAGTGGGGCAGAAGCAACTCTGAGCTCGCCGACCTCCTCATCCCTCAAGTAGATGGAACGGCCGACGAGAACAGTGGTGAGCGAATCCTTTCCAGATGATACAGATCTATACTAGGGTTTAATATTTTTCCCGAAAATGAGACGTATCAAATACCGGGAAAAGACGGCGCGTTTCCCGGGAAATCCCGGGAAATAGCTGTTGTTTGTAGTTGTTGTTTTTAGCCCAAGTAATGTATGATATCACTCAAATATATAATCCAACAAAAGCTGCCATCTCCACTAGTGTTTCACCAAGTGACTTGCTAGCCTTTCTAAAGTAGCCACAGCGTTTTCAGACGTTTTGTTGATGGGCTTTCTTCAGGAATTTCACTATTATGACATTCTAAATGTCTGCGCAATCTTGTCGACCAGTGACGTGCGGTGTGGTTTGGAGGCACTGACTTCAGCCCTGTCAGATGAACATATATCATATAAATCAACATAACCTACAGAGCGGCTTATTCATAATTAGTTTGGCTACAGCAGAATGTTTTCCATGGCCCGCATTGTTTGCTCAAACAAAACGCAAAAGTTCGTAAAAGGCACATTTCCAATTGTGTTATGGGTCTTACCTTAGTTATTAATGAACAGCACAGACCACTTCAGTTCAGACCAGTTTCATGTTTAAGTCCAGATAATAGTTTGAGCGCAGATATGTAATCACCCATTTGGAAATAAGCCCAAAGAGTTTTAAAGCGTAAAACAAAACGGGTGCCACCTCCATAAACTCCTCCGTGTGTTCGCTGCAGCCGGTGTAACGCCAAGATACACTGTCTTGAAGAGATGCACTTCCCCAGCTGTTTATGATGTAATGCAAACCTGCGCATGCGCGTCTCACGGTAACCGAAGCATACCAAGATGGCCGACCATGAATTGCTTTAAAAGTTGAAATACGAACGAATTAAGACACGAATGTCACTTTTAATGCAATTTGAGGCGAGATGTTGATGGTTCCGTTTTGTCACATGTGGGTTTTAAGAGTCAAAGTTTTGTGCAAAGTTTAGTTTAAGCAGTCAACTGCGCCTGTGAAACCACAAAGCTAATGTTTTCATAGCAGTCCGCGGCTGCTGACGTAGGCTGATGACGCGTCCTGTGGCAACTCTACACTCTTACACTGGTCTGTCGGGTTGATAATGGAAATAATAAATTTAATTTAATACATGTATCGTACTGTATTTAATATGATTAACAATAGTGTGTTCAAACAAAATATTTAATTAGATTGATTTTTTTCCCCATTTTCCATTATCAACCCGACAGACCAGTGTAGGAGTGTAGAGTGGCCACAGGACGCGTCAGCAGCCTACGTCAGCAGCCGCGGACTGCTATGAAAACATTAGCTTTGTGGTTTCACAGGCGCAGTTGACTGCTTAAACTAAACTTTGCACGAAACTTTGACTCTTAAAACCCACATGTGACAAAACGGGACCATCAACATCTCGCCTCAAATTGCATTAAAAGTGACATTCGTGTCTTAATTCGTTCGTATTTCAACTTTTAAAGAAATTCACGGTCCGCCATCTTGGTATGCTTCGGCTGCCGTGAGACGCGCATGCGCAGGTTTGCATTACATCATAAACAGCTGAGGCTGTGTATCTTGGCGTTACACCGGCTCTCGGGCGCATCCAATTTCTAATATCAACCTTCTTACCCTTCTTCTCTCTTCCTTATCATTCCTATCGTCATTGGAAGCAGAAAATTACCCTAAATGCATTTTATATGATTTTAAAATGTGTTATCTGTATGTTAGCCAAACCTGTTACTGCCCTTAGCAGATGGAAAAAAGAAAGGAGCTTTTTGATAGAATTGGACGTAACCAAATTCTGGGCTCACATGTGCCCCGTACCCTGAGGCTGGCCTCAATACAAGTCGTGGTTTAGCGCGATTAAGACCCATATTTGTTTCAAAAACACAATTTATGAGCCATCCTCTAAGCTGTAGACATGTTGATTGTAAATGAAATATGTTTGAATTTTGAACAACAATAAACGTGCTTTATAATAGGAGCGCACTGTATTTTTTTTTTTACTTTCATTTCCCGTTTCCCGTCAAAACATTTCCCGGGAATCGGGAAATAGTTTTCATCAGATTTCCCGGGAATCCCGTATCCCGGGATTAAACCCTAATCTATACCGACTGCTTTCAAGAGGGCTCCCCTGCTTGTCTTAGTTGTTTTTGTTTGAATACCTTTTAACTGTTGATTTTATTACTGATGTTTATTCTGCTCATACTGTATTCTCCACTTCAACAGGAAAAACATCTGTAAATACTTCTGAACCAAGTGCAATTATAGCTCCAGAGTTCATTTTATTCTATATTATTCTATCTAATTATTTTGTCTTTTATCTATGTATTTGATGTGTGCGTTTGAGTCTTATTTCCTTCTTTCTCTGCTGTAATGTGCAACAATGACACATTTCTCCACTGTGCGACCAATAGAAGAAGACGCTTTACAGTATGCGATTGAATATCTAATATAAGATATTCCTTATCTTATATTAGATATTCAATCGCATACTGTAAAGCCTCTTCTTCACGGCTGTACGTTTACTGATGCCTCTTTACTGGATTGATTTAAGTTATTGGTTATTCTTAGTTATGCTTTACCTTTGCTGCATTGTAGATTAAAAATTCACATTCATGCAGAGGTTTTATAATGACCACTGATTCTGATAAAGGTTGTGCATGAGGCCAATAAACAACCTTGTGTTGTGTTTTTTCTGCAGATTCATCTCTGACGGACAGCAGCTCCAGGAGCCAGTCATCGCTCACAGAAAGGATGCAAAGCAAAAGGAATAAGTTTCTTTTGGAGCACAAAACCTCTCCGCTGCAGGACACTGAGCCTCCTCTCAACTTTGAACCGACGGACGCCACAAACACAAGCGCCGACCTGTCTGTGGTTAACAAAGACAGACGCTACATTCTCCCAGTCAAACATCCCGTCCCTTCAAAGTCGGCTAAAGCTGTCGCAGCCTCCAGCAACAGTTTGAGTCAAGATGGCAAAGGACTGCTCCTCAAAAACGCTTCTGTTACTTTGGACAAGACTGACCTCAAACTTGTTCCTTTTGGCCCCAGAAACGCTGCGATGAAGAGTCATGTTTACGGAAGTCTTAAGAATGTGGAGTCAAACTGTCACAAGAAATTATTTTGTTATTCTGGTTTGAGAAACTGTTCAACTAAAGGAGATGTTGAGATGAATCGGAAGGAAAGCAACCTAAACATTACAGTCCATTCCACTATGATGGAGAACCCTGCACACCAGAGCGAGGAGGGCCACGTGGGCGAGCTGAAGATTTGCTACGAAGACTATTGCGAGAACAAGACCGACCAGACCATAGTGGCGCAACAAGAAGCTCATTATAAGTTTTTCCCGAGCGTCATTCTCTCAAACTGCCTCACTCGGAAGAAATCGGGGGGAAAAAAGATTCTTGATCCTTGCAACAAAATAGAAGACGCACATCCAAGGAGGTCACGATTGAAACTCAACAAAAAGAGTTTATCTGTGGACCCAACAGAGACTTCCCAGGAGAGCGTGGGTGATGTGGCTGGAGTCCACACCGAAAGCACAGAAGTTCCGGTGGATTCAAGCCCATGTCATGTGGCAGATGATCAAGAAAATGAAACGGAAGGCAAATGTCCAGCTACAACAGAGGCAGTCGCCAAAGGGGAAGAATCTGAGGAGATAGTTGAAGAGATTGCAACTACAGTAGAATCGATAGAAACAGTAGAACCTCTCTCAAGTACCCCCAGCTGTTCTGAACAGTCCAATACCCCAGTAGATAGTTCTGTAATAAGTATTGCACTACCGGCCAGTAAGTATGCTTTAAGAACTAAACGTAAAGCAAAGCATTATGCTGAGGAGGGGGAAATGCCATCTGTAGGCCGGGGGAAAAGTCTCCTGTCTCGATCCCAAAGTCCCAAAGACGATGGTGCGTCACAACAAGACCAGAAAGGCAAAAAGCGCAGTAAGAAAGATCCTCCTGTCATTGTGAAGTACATCATTATAAACCGGTTTAAAGGAGAGAAGAATATGTTGGTTAAAGTATCCAAGATCAAAACAGAGGAGCAGGAAGTCTCCTTAACGCAAGATAAGTTAGCGCTGTACGACAGGCTGGCACCTCTCAAAGACTTCTGGCCCAAAGTCCCCGAGTCCCCAGCTTTGCGTTTTCCGATTCCTGAAACGAAACCAAGGAGATATATTAAACGAAAAGGCAAACCTGGCAGAAAACCATCAGCGAAGCCGCCGGAAAGGTTCAGTCTCCCCTCACTGCCCACTCCTCGCCCCTGCTACTGCGAGCTCACCCAGGATCGCGACTCGCACTATTCGGATGTCATGGTTGAGCTGGGCTACCTCTCCGATATTTCCCTGAGCCCGAGAGACTCTACGCCTCCGAGATGTTGGTCCCCCAGTGATCCGCTCATGTCGGAAAGCCCCATTCCTGAGCATCTGATCAACCCCCTCAGTGACCCATGTCTCAGTTCAGCTTCTGTGTACTCCTCCGAAACCCTTCAGACAAAGAGTTCAACTGTCAAAGCCACAAATACCTCAGCCCAAAGAGCAAGTAGAAGTCGAGGTAAAACCAAAAATGTTACGACAAGGAAAAGGCGGAAAACCACCCCAAAGGCCCTTGACAGACGTAGGACAAAAAACAACAGCAAAAATAAGAAGGAAGTGCCAAAAACAGAGCAAACTAAAGACTTCTCTGGAGAGGACACAGTCTCCAGTGTTTCTAATGCAGATGCTTTCTCTACGCTCCAATCCACACAAACAAGAACTGAGGATTGTGCGTCAATCCAGGAAACCGGTGAAGTCTTTCCAGCCAATCAGGTCCAAGGAAGCTCCACTGATGTAGTGGCGGACGAGTCAGAGGAGAAGGAGGCCCTGTCCCCTCTCACGGACTGGAGTCAGAGCGGGTCAGTCCCAGGAGTCTCAAACGCTCCTCCAGGTTTAGTGGTTTACAATAAACTGCAGGAGAAACCTTCGTCAGAACAAAACCAGTCACTGCTTGACCACAAAGAATCCACTACCAACGCAAAGATATCAAAATCTAGACCAACAAAAAGTGCTATTCCAAAGTGCAAGAAGGTGAAAGGCAGAAAGAGTGAGACAGAAACTAAGAGCCCAACTTTGTCGGAGCCAAATCTGGAAAGTTGCAAGCTGATAGAGGACGGCCTGTCACCAGAACTGCCTCACAACAACTTTGACATAAACGCCATCGACCAGGCCGACCTGTGCTGCCCGTACAGCAGCAGCCAGTTCGTCCTCACCGACAAGAATCTGCCTCTTAAGTTCCTGAGTGACGCCTCGCAGGACTGCCTCTCAGCCCAGACTCCCGTCTCTGAGAGGAACACCAGGTGAGATACATTAGATGGTTTTAGCAAATAGTTAATGAAGGTTTATCTTGTCTTCTTAAGAGTTTTTTTTTTTTTTGGTCTGGTATAAAATAACTATAAATACGTTTTAAGTTATGGCAAATGGTTAAAGAGCAGTTTGAAGTAATAGAGCTGCTCAATTATGTAAATTATTAACACAAATATTTCACTCATACTTCTAATTATCTTTCTGTTCTGTCAAAATTGACCCATAAAGACGGCATAGAAATTGTACAAAGGTGATTAAAAGTTGATGGACAATTTGTTATGAATTATAAATTATCCATCAATTTTCTTCCGCTGCTGGGTCGCGGGGGCAGCCGTCTAAACAGAGACGCCCAAACTACCCTCTCCACACACACTTACTCCAGCTCGTCCGGGGGGACCCCAAGGCGTTCTTCCTCGGGGCCTCCTCCCGGTGGGATGTGACGGAACACCTCCCTAGAGGTGAGGGAGGGAGAGCTTTGGCTTTTGGCTCAGCTCCCTCTTTCCCACAATGGTCTGGTACAATGGCCGCCAGAATTATGATTTCAATTTTTGCTCTATTACTTGCACAGCCCTAACGCAGTCTTGAGCTAGTACTAGTCCTATGGTGCATTATACAATTGATAGAATGCAGAGATGACTTACTTTATTGTGAAACAGGACGGCGACTGTTGGAGAGGAGCTGAACAAAGTCTGTGATCGTCTGGAGGATTTCGACCGAGCGGAGCACACTGAGGTCCCAGGGAACACCTCAGACTCTGCTGAAGTCAAAAGCAAAGACTGCCCCTCTCTGGATGCCAGCTCCCAAAGCCATTTCCAGGACTTCCACTGTGAGAGAAAGGAGCTTCTCTTCTCTTCCCTGGATCCGTTACCTCTGACCTCTGTGTCCTTCATCGACGTCTCACCCACCAGTGACCTTCTGGAAGGCATCGATGGCCTGACCTCCAGCACGCCCAGCAGCTCGCCACGCTCTGTCAGTTCTCTGTCCCAGGCCAGAGCCAGTCCTCGGGGGACCAACATCCTGAAGCCCCTCATGTCTCCCCCCAGTCGAGAGGAACTCTGTGGGACACTCAAAGACTTGGAGATGGCAGAGGCTGCTTTCGAAGAACCTTTCTGCAGCGATCCGTCTGATGTTCCAGATAAACCCATGTAAGTACTTTCTGCACACTGGGGCAATGTGACGATTCCAGACTATTGAGATGTTTGGGCCACAATTCAATATTATTGCAATTCTCAGCATATCGCGATGCAGCAGGTATTGCAATATCAACTTATTCAAAAACGTCACAAAACTTTAGGAAAATAAGACTGCTCAACTCATGTCACATTTATAATGGTCTGCGCATTAACGGAAGTGCAAACACTGAGGAAGGTAGTTATCCTTGAACATTCAGGACACAGGACCTTATTACAGACAAGACGTCCTTATTCTCTGAACAGTCGACCTCTGACATGAACTATTAAAATACAGCAAACCTGAGTCACAAAAAGCAGACATAAAGTAACAAACGTTAGATCTAATGGTTCATGTTTTCAGAGTAAACTCTGAACATGAACTATCTGCTCTACTGTATTGATTTAAGTGCGTGTTTGCGATACTGAATAGAATTGATTTTCCTCCCCCACCACTACTGCACACAGAGATTATGTTCCAATCACAGTTAATATAAATCAGTTTTGTGTATGGCTCTTTATTTCAGGCAAGTCGGGGGCCGTAAGCTCACAGTGGGCACCAGGCTGACCTCGGAGCTCTCAGAGTTCACCGGAGAGCTGTCTGTGGACGGCCTGCATTTCTGGAAGACTGCTTTTTCTGCTATGACTTTACCGTGTGGCACAGTGGGGCTCAAGACCAGGAGACCGACTCAGGCCTCAGACTCCGACAAAGAAGTGATGCTGCTGCCCTGTAAAAGCCCCCCGAGCAGACAGAGTGTGCAGCTGTGGCTCGAGGCGCACAGACAACTCAGACTATTGGAGAAAGGGATCAAGACTTTGGAAGAACAAGAAGATCCCCAGCTCCAGCCCGTTCCTGAAACCCAGTCCTCATCGAGTTCAACACTTGTAGAAGCAGTTCAGTTTTCCATCGAAGAAGACATGGATGTGATTTCTCCCAACAGCCCTGATCTTCCTCCGTGGCAGCAGAGAAACCCGGGCAGTCCCACCAACACTGGCCAGCAGTCCCCTCCCAGCTCGGTGCCTACGTTGAGTTCAACCGGTTCTCTCAGTGGCTTGAATCCTTACAGCCCTCCTGCCATTAAGAGGCCACTCATCTGCAGCACACCCATCTCTGAGCGTAAGACCACTCAACATGAGATGAGATAGACTTTATTGATCTCACACTGGAGAACTGGAGAAAAGTCACATCGACTTTTCAACACGTACGGTTTTAAAGAAGGAAAAATGTATTAGGGATGCCACTGTTTCATTAGATTAGGATTGACTCACGTGAGGCCTATATGTGGACAAAATGTACTTTCTTTTAAAGAGGTACTGGTTAGTTTTTTTTATACAGGTGCGCTTGATAGTACTGTACCAAGATTTTAGTAAATATATTGGTTATCTAAAGGGACAAAGAAAACTATAGCATGAAATCCACTCTGGTGTAATGACAAGCTCAGTGTTTACTAGATTTGCATTACAAGTCTTGCATTACAAATCTACATAAAAAAGTCACAGGTGTTTGCTCAAACTGAAACCAAAACCACTAGGGGCCCTCCTACCCCCCGGCTGGGATACACTGCCATACAGTACAATGGGCCCAGACACTCTCTGACCCTACACTTCAATCCCAATACTCGCTCTGTGCATCACACCAGAGCTCGAACTATATTAGAAATATATTCCAGTCCCAGAATATTTATGTATGTTTCCCCTTTTGTGTTCTGCTTCCTGTGTAGATGAAGACGCTGGTGTGCAGAAGAGGAAGAGCCGAGCCAAACCTCTCCGCAGACTCATCCTCAGCTCCCAGATCAAGGTAGTCCACTTTCTTATCTTCAGCTTTACATTCTTGAACATTTAAATCCAACTGGTGTTTGTTTTTTTTGGGCAGAACCAGTTTGCAGATCTGAATAAACCAAAAAAAATTAACTCACAAATTGAAGGTCCGAGCATTGCTAATTCGTACGGCTTCAAAGTGAGCATCCAGAACCTGCAGGAGGCCAAAGCTTTGCATGAGGTGAGTGCGTGAATAATAACATTAACAGTAACACATTATCTTTGTAGGCGCCTCAAAACTCTCAAATTCACCTTAAAGATAGAAATAATTTAATAAAATTTTTGCATAATCCAACAACAACAATCCAACAAACAACTTTTGTTTCTGAGGATTTTAATACGTTTTTGATTCGCTAATAACAGATCTTCGAATCAAACGGATAGAAAAGTAACAATTAGGGCTGGTAAAATGGCATCCTAGTTTTTCACGTGTTTTTTTTATTTTCTGTCTCAATCCTATTAGAGAACATTAAATCTTGCCCTCTGAGTCACTATTTGACGCTTTGGGTTTGGAGCTTTTAGTCACGTTTTGAAGCGAAAGAGGCCAAAGATACATGATGTGAAATCTATTGATCGAACCAAACTGTTTAGAGCCAAGAACTACCGTAATTACTGGACTATAAGTTTCTACTTTTGTCAAACCTGCAGCCTATATAGTGATAATGTACTCATTCTCATTGTCCCCCTCGGTGCAGGGAAGGAGCACAAATTCCTGCTTCCTAATATGTTTATGTGAACAGCAGAGAGACGACACCAGAAAGTGTAGGACTGTAGTCGGAGCAATCATGGACTTATTTTTGACTCCAGGTTTTAGTAGCAATGGGAGTGCTTTGATCATTACAACATAAAAGAGGCTTATATTCAAGTGAGGCCTATATGTCGACAAAAACACTTTCTTTGGCACTCTATGCGTTTTATTTACAGGTCCAGCCAGTACTGTAATTTTTTTGTATTTTTGTGGTTAGAAAGTTAGGTGTCCCAGCTTTAACAAAACTCATTGTACAAAATCTAAACCTGCTCTTGTACATATGTGTGTAGGTGCAATACTTATATATGTGTGTAGGTGCAATACTTATGCATATGTGTGTAGGTGCAATACTTGTGCATATGTGTGTAGGTGCAATACTTGTTCATATGTGTGTAGGTGCAATACTTGTTCATATGTGTGTAGGTGCAATACTTGTGCATATGTGTGTAGGTGCAATACTTGTGCATATATGTGTAGGTGCAATACTTGTTCATATGTGTGTAGGTGCAATACTTGTGCATATGTGTATAGGTGCAATACTTATATATGTGTGTAGGTGCAATACTTATGCATATGTGTGTAGGTGCAATACTTGTGCATATGTGTGTAGGTGCAATACTTGTGCATATATGTGTAGGTGCAATACTTGTTCATATGTGTGTAGGTGCAATACTTGTGCATATGTGTGTAGGTGCAATACTTATATGTGTGTAGGTGCAATACTTATGCATATGTGTGTAGGTGCAATACTTGTGCATATGTGTGTAGGTGCAATACTTGTTCATATGTGTGTAGGTGCAATACTTGTGCATATGTGTGTAGGTGCAATACTTGTGTGTAGGTGCAGTACTTGTGCATATGTGTGTAGGTGCAATACTTGTACATATGTGTGTAGGTGCAGTACTTGTGCATATGTGTGTAGGTGCAATACTTGTGCATATGTGTGTAGGTGCAATACTTGTACATATGTGTGTAGGTGCAGTACTTGTGCATATGTGTGTAGGTGCAATACTTGTGCATATGTGTGTAGGTGCAATACTTGTGCATATGTGTGTAGGTGCAATACTTGTGCATATGTGTGTATGTGCTGTAGCTAGCTTAGGTCCTAGATCATTAGCCTGTCCGTCCGGAGGAGCGGATCCCTTTCTCATATGGGTCTCCCTCCCTGTGGGTTTCCCTAGTTCTCCCCAAGGTTTCTCACTTTTTCCCACTGGGTTTTTTAAGAGTTGTTCCTTGTCGATGCAGGAGGGTCTTGTTGGACAGTTAGTGTCCAACAGAAAGGATTGGTGATGATCAGGACACTTTAGCATTCTACAACATGTATGGACATTTTCTTCTGTGTGTGCTTTATATTTTTCATGTGTGTGACCTGTGTTGGTGATTTCAATGGTTTTGTTAAGTCTCTGAGATGACTTCTGTTGTGACCTAGGGCTATACAAGAATACATTCTATTGTATTGTATTGTATGTCTGTAGGTGCAATACTTGACGCTGATGAGCATGGAGTTGCACGCACGTTCTCGCCGGGACCTGGAGCCAGACCCAGAGTTCGACCCCATCTGTGCCTTGTTCTACAGCCTCAGCACGGACGCCCCCAGTGAGGGCCCCCCACTGATCGGGGCCATTGTCGTGGAAACGGAACAACAAAGCCACGCTCAAGGTGGGACAATCAGCCCGTAGTGAGTTCGTAAGAAGAAAGAGAATATTAATGTGTGTGTCTGTCTGTTTCTGTCTGTGTGTGTGTCTGTCCAGGGCGTCGGGAGTGCGCCCCTCTCCTGGTTTGCTCTGGCGTGTCCGGTTTGCAGGTCACGTATGTTCCCACGGAGCTGAAGCTGTTTGAGGAACTCGTTACAGTCGTCAAAAGGTGCCCTCTTCTCTTCCACACAAATCCAACTTCTTTAATAAATGTTTAAACTGGGGTCGACCGTTGTGGATGACCCTCTCCGTGTGTGGTCGGACAGGTGTGACCCCGACATGCTGCTGGGGTATGAGATCCAGATGCACTCCTGGGGGTACCTCCTCCAGCGCTCGTCGGCCCTGGGAGTGGACCTCTGTCAGCAGCTGTCTCGCATCCCGGGTGAGGACATGACGACAGGACTAATACTTACACCTCCTGCTGGTCCCAGAGTCGGGACTGAAACATTTGTGATTTATTCAATTCAATTACTTCTTGTATTGCCCTAAATCACAACAGTAGTTTTCTCAGAGGACTTTGCAAAGCCGTAAGCAGCCAAAATCTGGAACAGTCTTCCTGAATATGTGAGACAGGCTTCTTCTCTGACAATGTTTAAATCCAGGTTAAAAACTGCTCTGTTTAGCTGTTACAATGTGAGGGAGTGTGTCTTTACTCCGTTTAATGTCTCTCCTGTTTTGTTCTGCACTTTGAGTTGTGCCATACAATTAAACTTGCATTGCCGAATTACTAATGGTTTTCTAAATGTCATCAGGAGACTCCAAAGACAACCGCTTTGCTGCTGAACGGGACGAGTACGGCGCTGACACCATGACGGAGATCCATATCGTGGGTCGTATCGTTCTGAATCTGTGGAGGATCATGAAATATGAGGTCAGTTGTAGATCATAGTAATTCATATCAAAATATATATATATTTTTAACTAAGTAATGTTTGTTTATATAGCGCATTTTACAGACCAAGGTCACCCAAAGCGTTTTACAATGTTCAGATTCAGATATTGTTCTAATCACTGCACACACGGTGACAACGGAAAGGAGTCGCCGAACACACTGGTCCATCAAAGCCTCCGACCAAACACCCTCCATTCACTCATTTACATTCTTTACTATTGTGCATGTTTTAGTGGTAGGGGAAACCAGAGCACTAAAGGTTTTCTGTGAAAGCTACACAGACACGGGGAGAACATGCAAACTCCACTCAGAAAGGCCCTATTCCGACCAGGATTTGAACCCAGTACCTACTTGCTGAGAAACACTCAACCACCACTTAGCACAGAAGGTCTGCCCCACCACTAAAAACATACGATGAGAATGAGTGTGTTTGTGAGACTACAGGTGCAAATAAGATACAAAGCTACAACCTGGCGTTATCGTTAAAACTCATGAACACACATCGTTCCAAATACACAAAAACTATATTCTGAATGAAGTTCCATTTTATACAGAATATTGAAGACCTTTTTCCCTCAGTATATGTATGATACTTCAGTCTTTTATGTCCCAAAGTTAATTATATAATCATGTTGCTAATTTTTTCTAATATCCCTTTGATTTACAGGTTGCACTAAATAACTACTCCTTTGAGAATGTGGCGTTTCATATTCTGCACCAGCGCTTCCCTCTGTTCAGCCATCGCACTCTGTCCGACTGGTTTGATCACACCACTCACCTCCACAGGTGTGTGTGTGCGTGCGTGCGTGCGTGCGTGCGTGCGTGTGTGTGTGTGTGTGTGTGTGTGCGTGCGTGCGTGTGTGTGTGTGTGTGTGCGCGCGTCAGAACTGTCAGACTGTTCGCTGAACCTCTGTGACTGATTAAAGGTGGAAGATGGTGGATCACTATGTGAGTCGGGTCCAAGGCTCCATGCAGCTGATCCAGCAGCAGGACATAGTGGGCCGCACCAGTGAGCTGGCTCGAGTGTTTGGGATCCAGTTCTACCACGTCCTGACTCGAGGATCACAGGTTTCTATCACACAGCAGCACAACAGCTGCGTTTCCACCGCAAGAACTTCAGGGTCGGTGTGTGTCTCCACTGCAGGAACTTCTCCCACAGGACCCTCCCCCACAGGGCCCTCCCCCACAGGGCCATTTACAGGAACTTTTACGGGTCCCAACGGAGTTCCTCCTCTGTGCTAGGTACTCCGTTGGGCTCTGAACAGCTTCTGGGCGGGGCTTGAGGTTTACCCGGTGCTGATTGGCTAAAGCTAGAGCAGGCTCTGACGCCAGCAGAAAACGTCAAAACAACCGTCATTTTTTCAATCGAGCAGCATTAGCCTAGCAGCATTAGCCTAGCAGCATTAGCCTAGACTGAGAGGACCTGCAGCTGTCCCACCCGGTCCTTTTACCAGGAACTCCTGCGGTGGAAACGTGACTGATGAGCCAGAGGCAAGTGTCTGGGCCTGTACCTAACGTAAAATCTGTCTCCCTTTTCTATCTCTGTCTCTTTCCTGTGTGTGTCTCTCTCTTTTCCCCTCTTTCTCCGTCTCTCTGTGTCCGTGACTGACTCTCGCTCTCTGTCTCTTTCTCTTTCTGTATCTCTGTCTGTCTCTCTCTGTCTCTGTCTCTCTCTCCGTCTCTGTGTGTGTCTGTGTCTGTGTCTCTGTGTGTGTCTGTGTCTCTGTGTGTGTGTTGTAGTACCGGGTTGAGTCCATGATGCTGCGTGTGGCCAAGCCTCTGAACTACATTCCCGTCACTCCGAGTATCCAGCAGCGTGCCCAGCAGAGGGCGCCACAGTGCATTCCTTTGGTCATGGAGCCAGAGTCCCGCTTCTACAGTAACTCTGTGGTGGTTCTGGATTTCCAGTCCCTCTATCCTTCCATTGTCATCGCCTACAACTACTGCTACTCCACCTGCTTGGGCCACGTGGACAGTCTGGGAACGTAAGGCACTTTGATGTTGGTCTAATGTTTTATTTTTCACACGTCCCTGTTTAGATGGCCCAATTTATTCATTCATGGACAGGTGAATGACAAACATGCCCTTACAAGACTAAACTGAGTTCTTAACAAACAGACAAACCCATCTGTGGACTCACATCCTCTACGGATAGAAATGAAAATACCTTAACCTTCAAATTCCATCAAATTCATAAGTAACATTACAGCGGATGTGTGGTTGTTGTGGTGAGAGGTTTCTTAACAAAGATGAATCTCTTACATTAACGTATTTCATTGAAGCAATTTGATTTTCAGGCCTGATGAGTTTAAGTTCGGCTGCACGTCCCTCAGAGTCCCCCCTGACCTCCTCCATCAGTTACGTCATGAGATCACCGTGTCTCCCAACGGGATTGCTTTTGTCAAGGTAAGTTCTCTACTTCTGACGGTTATATGCACTGGCTGCACACTGTCTATAAACTGCACCAGCTGAATTTGAAAAGAAAGTGAAGTTTTTCCACATATTCTTATGTTTAATAAACCTGGCCTGTACAGTCTGTTTTGGAGTCAAAGGCTCTCCTCCTGTGCGGTGTACGGTTGTTGGAACAGTCTTAATCGGGGACACTCGATTCTAACGGAGTGCTAACAAATATTTCTCAAAAGAGATTTTGGGCATTTTTGGAAAACATAACAGAAGAAATTGCTGCGTTTCATTGGGGTGGCCTGCAGGGGGCGCTTATCTGGGAAAGCCTTGATCCACCTCGCCCGCCTCATTCCAGTGATTTGAACAAACTCTGGTCTTTCTCTCTATTTGTGCGGTTGCTACAAGCGTACACCGCACACAAAGATGACATTTTGACAGCGCTTCTTCTTCTACTATATCTGCGTGTATAAACCACTTCTTCTACTGTATCTCCGTGTATAAACCCGGCAGACTGCACCGCCAGGGTACGTCACGTCCTGTCCTACGTTTGTTACTTACAATGCCAATAATAATACTTCTGCTTCTAAAAAACACTATGAGCTCTAAGGAAGCAAACATCAGCTGCTAGCTTCACGTCAGGACTCATTTACCAAACTATGTTAACCATAAAAGTACAGTGCCTTGCGAAAGTATTCGGCCCCCTTGAATCTTTCAACATTTTGCCACATTTCAGGCTTCAAACATAAAGATATAAATTATAAAAATTTTGTCATGAATCAACAACAAGTGGGACACAATCGTGAAGTGGAACTAAATTTATTGAATAATTTAAACTTTTTTAACAAATAAAAAACGGAAAAGTGGGGCGTGCAATATTATTCGGCCCCTTTACTTTCAGTGCAGCAAACTCACTCCAGAAGTTCAGTGAGGATCTTTGAATGATCCAATGTTGTCCTAAATGACTGATGATGATAAATAGAATGCACCTGTGTGTAATCAAGTCTCCGTATAAATGCACCTGCTCTTTGATAGTCTCAGGGTTCTGTTTAAAGCACAGAGAGAACCATGAAGACAAAGGAACACACCAGGCAGGTCCGAGATACTGTTGTGGAGAAGTTTAAAGCCGGATTTGGATACAAAAAGATTTCCCAAGCTTTAAACATCTCAAGGAGCACTGTGCAAGCAATTATATTGAAATGGAAGGAGTATCAGACCACTGCAAATCTACCAAGACCCGGCCGTCCCTCCAAACTTTCATCTCAAACAAGGAGAAGACTGATCAGAGATGCAGCCAAGAGGCCCATGATCACTCTGGATGAACTGCAGATAACTACAGCTGAGGTGGGAGAGTCTGTCCATAGGACAACAATCAGTCGTGCACTGCACAAATCTGGCCTTTATGGAAGAGTGGCAAGAAGAAAGCCATTTCTCAAAGATATCCATGAAAGTCTCGTTTAAAGTTTGCCACAAGCCACCTGGGAGACACACCAAACATGTGGAAGAAGGTGCTCTGGTCAGATGAAACCAAAATCGAACTTTTTGGCCACAATGCAAAACGATATGTTTGGCATTTTGGCCACAATGCAAAACGATATGTTTGGCGTAAAAGCAACACAGCTCATCACCCTGAACACACCATCCCCACTGTCAAACATGGTGGTGGCAGCATCATGCTTTGGGCCTGCTTTTCTTCTGCAGGGACAGGGAAGATGGCTAAAATTGATGGGAAGATGGATGGAGCCAAATACAGGACCATTCTGGAAGAAAACCTGTTGGAGTCTGCAAAAGACCTGAGACTGGGACGGAGATTTATCTTCCAACAGGACAATGATCCAAAACATAAAGCCAAATCTACAATGGAATGGTTCACAAATAGACGTATCCAGGTGTTAGAATGGCCAAGTCAAAGTCCAGACCTGAATCCAATCGAGAATCTGTGGAAAGAGCTGAAGACTGCTGTTCACAAACGCTCTCCATCCAACCTCACTGAGCTCAAGCTGTTTTGCAAGGAAGAATGGGCAAGAATTCCAGTCTCTCGATGTGCAAAACTGATAGACATACCCCAAGCGACTTGTTGCTGTAATTGCAGCAAAAGGTGGCGCTACAAAGTATTAGCGCGAGGGGGCCGAATAATATTACACGCCCCACTTTTCAGTTTTTTATTTGTTAAAAAAGTTTAAATCATCCAATAAATTTCGTTCCACTTCACGATTGTGTCCCACTTGTTGTTGATTCTTGACAAAAAAAATTATTTTATATCTTTATGTTTGACGCCTGAAATGTGGCGAAATGTTGAAAAATTCAAGGGGGCCGAATACTTTCGCAAGGCACTGTATGTCCTGCTACTAAACCTGAGTCAAAATACTAAGTCCCTAAACTCTGCACAGCGGCACTAATCACATTTGGATTGGAAATATGAGCTTTTTCATCCAATCCCTTTTAAAGCCATATATACAGGTATTCTTTGTTTTTATTATTTTTCATGTGAATAATTGTTGGTGTATCTTGTGCATATTTGAAATAAATACATTAAAAAACACAAGCATTACCTTGTGTCAGCTCTCTGCTGTTCACATAAACGTAAGAGCAGGTGATAAAGCAGCGCCCAGTAGAGACCAATGCAACCTGTCGTTTAAACATCTGGTATTTTTATTGTTGTAAAGACCTTGCACAAAGTTGCAGCTTATTGTCCAGCCGTTTTGCTAATTGAGATTTTTTTTAATGTTATTTTTTAAATGTTTTTACAGTCATCGGTGCGTAAAGGCATCCTTCCCAGCATGCTCGAGGAGATCCTGAACACTCGCATCATGGTTAAACAATCCATGAAGACGTACAAGAACGACAAAGCCCTCTCGAGGCTGCTGCACGCGCGGCAGCTCGGACTCAAACTCATTGCTAACGTCACTTTTGGCTACACCGCCGCCAACTACTCTGGCCGGATGCCGAGTGTGGAGGTAGGTGATTCTTCTACGGCTCCATGTGGGACTCAGATCCACTGATGCACTTTCTGTAGATTGGAGATAGCATCATTCACAAAGCCAGGGAGACGCTGGAAAGAGCAATCAAGATGGTGAACGAGACCAAGAAATGGGGCGCGAGAGTGGTCTACGGAGACACAGACAGGTGAGAACAAGCAGTGAAAGATCTGTTTACCCAACGGTATCATGAACCCGGACCTGGCAACCGCACAAATGACGTGTTTCATCTCCTCATGTTGGCTCTCTGCTGTTCACTTAATCGTTCCATTACAATTACATACATTTTGGGACATTGGGAAGAACAACACATTTCTTCTTTCAAGTAGCATTAATAATAGAATATATTTTTTATTTTATTTTTTAGCCATTTCTACTTGTCCCATGGGCAAAGCGTGATTTCAGTGCATCTTCATAAACAACATCATTTTAACCCAATTATTTCAACAAATTTTGATTTATTTTTTTGATTGAAATGGTCCAGGTTTGGTTGGCAGTAGTCCAGGTCAGGATTTGCACTGTGTTGGCATTTATTTTCCACAAAAGACCTGAATGAGTAAGATTTTGTGTTCTATATTTTTGCTTTTAAAAGTTCAAAGTGATTATGTGTTGTACAATTATCCGGACCAGAATAAATGGTCATCCAAATACATTGAATGCCATGGCCTAAGTTTGCAAATATGCCGTCATTACCCAGGTTTTAGGAGACTCGCTCTGTCTCCAATATATTTTTTATTGTTCCGACTTTTTCTGAAAAGTGTTGAATTGTGTCTTTTGCAGCATGTTTGTGTTGCTGAAGGGAGTCACCAAAGAGCAGGCGTTTAAAATTGGAAACGAGATTGCGGAGGCTGTGACGGCCACCAACCCCAAACCAGTGAAGCTAAAGTTTGAAAAGGTGAGTGTGCCTCCAGTGGCCTCGTAAGAAAGTGCACGTGTGTGTGTGTATAAATGTGTGTGTATAACTGTGTGTGTGTAACTGTGTGTGTGTAGCTGTGTCTGTGTGTTGTGTCTGTGTGTTGTGTCTGTGTATACCTGTGGGGGGGTGTGTCTGTGTGTATAAAACTGTCTGGTCTGTGTATAACTGTGTCCGTGTGTGTGTGTGTGTATATAACTGTGGGGGTGTGTGTATAACCCTGTCTGGTCTGTGTATAACTGTGTGTATGTATGTATGTGTGTGTGTATAACTGTGTCCGTGTGTGTGTGTGTGTATATATAACTGTGGGGGTGTGTGTATAACCCTGTCTGGTCTGTGTATAACTGTGTGTGTGTATAACTGTGTCCGTGTGTGTGTGTGCAGGTCTATCTCCCCTGCGTACTTCAGACCAAAAAGAGATATGTAGGATATATGTACGAGAGCCTGGACCAGACGAAGCCTGTGTATGACGCCAAAGGGATCGAGACCGTGCGGCGAGATGGATGTCCTGCCGTTTCCAAGGTAACACTAGGGCTAGGGCTGGGAATTGGCAAAAAGTGATAATTGGATAATTGGTCCCTTATTGCTCTGTGAACTGGGTGCAGCTCTGACTGCCACCCCCCCAACCCAGAAATGGATTAAGAGGAAGAAAATGGATGGAGTACTTTTCTCTACCAAATATCTAATACTGAACAGAATAATTCCTCCACTATCCTGTGTCTCTGTAGATTCTAGAACGTTCCATTAAGCTGCTGTTCGACACCCGGGACATCAGTCGTGTGAAGCAGTTTGTGCAGCAGCAATGTGTGAAGGTTCTGGAGGGCCGCGCCTCAGTCCAGGACCTGACCTTTGCCAAAGAGTACCGCGGCGCCGGAGCGTACCGACCAGGAGCCTGTGTGCCCGCACTGGAGCTCACCAGGTCAGTGAGATGTGAAACACTGAAGTATGGATTGGGTTTGGGATTGGATAAAACAAGATATGCCAAAGGGAGGAAGAAGATGAAGCAGGAGATGGCCCAGGTCTAGCGCAGGTTTATCCCAGGTTTAGCCAGGTTTAGCCAGGTTTAGCCCAGGTTTAGCCCAGGTTTAGCCCAGAAATGAGGAAACCAGAAGGATCTCCCTCAATGCTTGGAAAGAGACATATGCAGTGCCTTGCGAAAGTATTCGGCCCCCTTGAACCTTTCAACATTTCAGGCTTCAAACATAAAGATATAAAATTTAAATTTTTTGTCATGAATCAACAACAGGTGGGACACAATCGTGAAGTGGAACGAAATTTATTGGATAATTTAAACTTTTTTAACAAATGAAAAACTGAAAAGTGGGGCGTGCAATATTATTGGGCCCCTTTACTTTCAGTGCAGCAAACTCAGTCCAGAAGTTCAGTGAGGATCTTTGAATGATCCAATGTTGTCCTAAATGACTGATGATGATAAATAGAATGCACCTGTGTGTAATCAAGTCTCCGTATAAATGCACCTGCTCTTTGATAGTCTCAGGGTTCTGTTTAAAGCGCAGAGAGAACCATGAAGACAAAGGAACACACCAGGCAGGTCCGAGATACTGATGTGGAGAAGTTTAAAGCCGGATTTGGATACAAAAAGATTTCCCAAGCTTTAAACATCTCAAGGAGCACTGTGCAAGCAATTATATTGAAATGGAAGGAGTATCAGACCACTGCAAATCTACCAAGACCCGGCCGTCCCTCCAAACTTTCATCTCAAACAAGGAGAAGACTGATCAGAGATGCAGCCAAGAGGCCCATGATCACTCTGGATGAAATGCAGATAACTACAGCTGAGGTGGGGATGGTGTGTTCAGGGTGATGAGCTGTGTTGCTTTTACGCCAAACATATCCTTTTGCATTGTGGCCAAAAAGTTCGATTTTGGTTTCATCTGACCAGAGCACCTTCTTCCACATGTTTGGTGTGTCTCCCAGGTGGCTTGTGGCAAACTTTAAACACGACTTTTTATGGATGTCTTTGAGAAATGGCTTTCTTCTTGCCACTCTTCCATAAAGGCCAGATTTGTGCAGTGCACGACTGATTGTTGTCCTATGGACAGACTCTCCCACCTCAGCTGTAGTTATCTGCAGTTCATCCAGAGTGATCATGGGCCTCTTGGCTGCATCTCTGATCAGTCTTCTCCTTGTTTGAGATGAAAGTTTGGAGGGACGGCCGGGTCTTGGTAGATTTGCAGTGGTCTGATACTCCTTCCATTTCAATATAATTGCTTGCACAGTGCTCCTTGAGATGTTTAAAGCTTGGGAAATCTTTTTGTATCCAAATCCGGCTTTAAACTTCTCCACATCAGTATCTCGGACCTGCCTGGTGTGTTCCTTTGTCTTCATGGTTCTCTCTGTGCTTTAAACAGAACCCTGAGACTATCAAAGAGCAGGTGCATTTATACGGAGACTTGATTACACACAGGTGCATTCTATTTATCATCATCAGTCATTTAGGACAACATTGGATCATTCAAAGATCCTCACTGAACTTCTGGACTGAGTTTGCTGCACTGAAAGTAAAGGGGCCCAATAATATTGCACGCCCCACTTTTCAGATTTTATTTGTTAAAAAAGTTGAAATTATCCAACAAATTTCATTCCACTTCACGATTGTGTCCCACTTGTTGTTGATTCAGGACAAAAAAATTAAATTTTATATCTTTATGTTTGAAGCCTGAAATGTTGAAAGGTTCAAGGGGGCCGAATACTTTCGCAAGGCACTGTATTCTGCACTTGAAAAAAGTCTGTTAAAACTTCAGGAGCATTTATATTAAAAGGCCGACGGTCAGACTGAGAAGTTACGGTTTATTCACAACAGTCCAACAAAGCTCCGTGAGAAGCCTGTGTTCTTCCCAAACGGCCTCTGAGCCTCAAATACAGACTTTACAGAGCTGTCAATTCTCCAACACAGATCAGAGAGCCAGGGGCCATCAGAGCCAGGGGCCATCAGAGCCAGGGGGCCATCAGAGCCAGGGGCCATCAGCCATCAGAGCCAGGGGCCATCAGAGCCAGGGACCATCAGAGCCAGGGACCATCAGAGCCAGGGACCATCAGAGCCAGGGGCCATCAGAGCCAGGGGCCATCAGAGCCAGGGGCCATCAGAGCCAGGGGGCCATCAGAGCCAGGGGGCCATCAGAGCCAGGGGGCCATCAGAGCCAGGGGGCCATCAGAGCCAGGGGGCCATCAGAGCCAGGGGGCCATCAGAGCCAGGGGGCCATCAGAGCCAGGGGGCCATCAGAGCCAGGGGGCCATCAGAGCCAGGGGGCCATCAGAGCCAGGGGGCCATCAGAGCCAGGGGGCCATCAGAGCCAGGGGGCCATCAGAGCCAGGGGGCCATCAGAGCCAGGGGGCCATCAGAGCCAGGGGGCCATCAGAGCCAGGGGGCCATCAGAGCCAGGGGGCCATCAGAGCCAGGGGGCCATCAGAGCCAGGGGGCCATCAGAGCCAGGGGGCCATCAGAGCCAGGGGGCCATCAGAGCCAGGGGGCCATCAGAGCCAGGGGGCCATCAGAGCCAGGGGGCCATCAGAGCCAGGGGGCCATCAGAGCCAGGGGGCCATCAGAGCCAGGGGGCCATCAGAGCCAGGGGGCCATCAGAGCCAGGGGGCCATCAGAGCCAGGGGGCCATCAGAGCCAGGGGGCCATCAGAGCCAGGGGGCCATCAGAGCCAGGGGGCCATCAGAGCCAGGGGGCCATCAGAGCCAGGGGGCCATCAGAGCCAGGGGGCCATCAGAGCCAGGGGGCCATCAGAGCCAGGGGGCCATCAGAGCCAGGGGGCCATCAGAGCCAGGGGGCCATCAGAGCCAGGGGGCCATCAGAGCCAGGGGGCCATCAGAGCCAGGGACCATCAGAGCCAGGGACCATCAGAGCCAGGGACCATCAGAGCCAGGGGCCATCAGAGCCAGGGGGCCATCAGAGCCAGGGGGCCATCAGAGCCAGGGGGCCATCAGAGCCAGGGGGCCATCAGAGCCAGGGGGCCATCAGAGCCAGGGGGCCATCAGAGCCAGGGAGCCATCAGAGCCAGGGGGCCATCAGAGCCAGGGGGCCATCAGAGCCAGGGGGCCATCAGAGCCAGGGACCATCAGAGCCAGGGACCATCAGGGCCAGGGACCATCAGAGCCAGGGACCATCAGAGCCAGGGACCATCAGAGCCAGGGACCATCAGAGCCAGGGACCATCAGAGCCAGGGCCAGGGACCATCAGAGCCAGGGACCATCAGAGCCAGGGACCATCAGAGCCAGGGACCATCAGAGCCAGGGACCATCAGAGCCAGGGACCATCAGAGCCAGGGACCATCAGAGCCAGGGACCATCAGAGCCAGGGCCAGGGACCATCAGAGCCAGGGACCATCAGAGCCAGGGACCATCAGAGCCAGGGGGCCATCAGAGCCAGGGGGCCATCAGAGCCAGGGGGCCATCAGAGCCAGGGGGCCATCAGAGCCAGGGGGCCATCAGAGCCAGGGGGCCATCAGAGCCAGGGGGCCATCAGAGCCAGGGGGCCATCAGAGCCAGGGGGCCATCAGAGCCAGGGGGCCATCAGAGCCAGGGGGCCATCAGAGCCAGGGGGCCATCAGAGCCAGGGGGCCATCAGAGCCAGGGGGCCATCAGAGCCAGGGGGCCATCAGAGCCAGGGGGCCATCAGAGCCAGGGGGCCATCAGAGCCAGGGGGCCATCAGAGCCAGGGGGCCATCAGAGCAGGGGCCATCACTACAGAAGGGTTTGGCCTCTTGTGTTCAGGAGGATGATGACGTACGACCGGCGGCGGGAGCCCAGGGTGGGCGAGCGTGTGCCGTACGTGATCGTGTACGGCGTGCCCGGTCTGCCTCTGATCCAGCTGGTGCGGCGGCCCCTGGAGGTGCTACAGGACCCCAGCCTGCGCCCCAACGCCACCTACTACATCACCAAACAGATCCTGCCTCCCGTCGCACGCATCTTCCAGCTGATCGGAGTGGACGTGTTCAGCTGGTACCAGGAGCTGCCCCGAGTGAGTGCTACAGACGCAGGCCGCTACAGACGCAGGCCGCTACAGACGCAGGCCGCTACAGACGCGGGCCGCTACAGACGCGGGCCGCTACAGACGCGGGCCGCTACAGACGCGGGCCACTGCTGGCCGTTACAGGCCGCTACAGACGCAGGCTGCTACAGGCCGCTACAGACGCAGGCTGCTACAGACGCAGGCCGCTAGAGACGCAGGCTGCTACAGGCCGCTACAGACGCAGGCTGCTACAGACGCAGGCTGCTACAGACGCAGGCTGCTACAGACGCAGGCTGCTACAGACGCAGGCCGCTAGAGACGCAGGCTGCTACAGGCCGCTACAGATGAAGGCTGCTACAGACGCAGGCCGCTACAGACGCAGGCCGCTACAGACGCAGGCCGCTAGAGACGCAGGCCGCTACAGACGCAGACCGCTAGAGACGCAGGCCGCTACAGACTGCTAGAGACGCAGGCCGCTACAGACGCAGGCCGCTACAGACGCAGGCCGCTACAGACGCAGGCCGCTACAGACGCAGGCCGCTACAGACGCAGGCCGCTACAGACTGCTAGAGACGCAGGCCGCTACAGACCGCTACAGACGCAGGCTGCTACAGACGCAGGCCGCTAGAGACGCAGGCCGCTACAGACCGCTACAGACGCAGGCCGCTAGAGACGCAGGCTGCTACAGGCCGCTAGAGACGCAGGCCGCTAGAGACGCAGGCCGCTAGAGACGCAGGCCGCTAGAGACGCGGGCCGCTACAGACGCAGGCCGCTAGAGACGCAGGCCGCTAGAGACGCAGGCCGCTAGAGACGCAGGCCGCTAGAGACGCGGGCCGCTACAGACTGCTAGAGACGCAGGCCGCTAGAGACGCAGGCCGCTACAGACGCAGGCCGCTACAGACGCAGGCCGCTACAGACGCAGGCCGCTACAGACGCAGGCCGCTACAGACGCAGGCTGCTACAGGCCGCTACAGACGCAGGCTGCTACAGACGCAGGCTGCTACAGACGCAGGCTGCTACAGACGCAGGCTGCTACAGACGCAGGCCGCTAGAGACGCAGGCTGCTACAGGCCGCTACAGATGAAGGCTGCTACAGACGCAGGCCGCTACAGACGCAGGCCGCTAGAGACGCAGGCCGCTACAGACTGCTAGAGACGCAGGCCGCTACAGACGCAGGCCGCTAGAGACGCAGGCCGCTACAGACTGCTAGAGACGCAGGCCGCTACAGACGCAGGCCGCTACAGACGCAGGCCGCTAGAGACGCAGGCCGCTACAGACTGCTAGAGACGCAGGCCGCTACAGACGCAGGCCGCTACAGACGCAGGCCGCTAGAGACGCAGGCCGCTACAGACTGCTAGAGACGCAGGCCGCTACAGACGCAGGCCGCTACAGACGCAGGCCGCTACAGACGCAGGCCGCTAGAGACGCAGGCCGCTACAGACCGCTACAGACGCAGGCTGCTAGAGACGCAGGCCGCTAGAGACGCAGGCCGCTAGAGACGCAGGCCGCTACAGACTGCTAGAGACGCAGGCCGCTAGAGACGCAGGCCGCTAGAGACGCAGGCCGCTAGAGACGCAGGCCGCTAGAGACGCAGGCCGCTAGAGACGCAGGCCGCTACAGACGCAGGCCGCTACAGACGCAGGCCGCTACAGACGCAGGCCGCTACAGACGCAGGCCGCTACAGACGCAGGCCGCTACAGACGCAGGCCGCTACAGACTGCTAGAGACGCAGGCCGCTACAGACTGCTAGAGACGCAGGCCGCTACAGACCGCTACAGACGCAGGCTGCTACAGACGCAGGCCGCTAGAGACGCAGGCCGCTAGAGACGCAGGCCGCTACAGACTGCTAGAGACGCAGGCTGCTACAGACGCAGGCCGCTACAGACGCAGGCTGCTACAGGCCGCTACAGACGCAGGCTGCTACAGACCGCTACAGACGCAGGCCGCTACAGACGCAGGCCGCTACAGACGCAGGCCGCTACAGACGCAGGCCGCTACAGACGTGGGCCACTGCAGGCCGCTACAGACGCAGGCCGCTACAGACGCAGGCCGCTACAGACGCAGGCCGCTACAGACGCAGGCCGCTACAATTTTACCATCAATTTTGTGGTCTTGGTAGAATTTGTATTTCCATTTTTCTTTAAGAGGACTCAGGCTCGTCGAGCGTCCATGTGTCTCGCTGTGTCCGACCTTAAACTTCCAGATTGAAACAGAACCGTCTGTTTGGCTCAGGTCCAGAAGGCTTGGTGCTCGTCGGCAGCAGGTGGCGCCGCAGAGACCGGGAGGAAAGGCACCATCTCCCAATACTTCACCACACTCCACTGTCCCGTCTGTGAGCAGCTCACACAGCTGGGCGTGTGTGCGAGCTGCAGAGAGCAGCCCCAGCGTGTGGCGGTCACTCTGTGGTCAGACCTGAGGGACGGTGAGCGGCAGCACGACGCTCTGCGGCAGGTCAGTCTCATTCTCTTTCATCTCAACTCCATTTGTTCTTGTTCCAATAAATCACAAGTTTTATCTCAGAGGACTTTAGAAAACAGTTTACTTCTCCAACACAGATTAGAGAATCAAACAGTTCAAACACAGGAAGAGCAGTGATAAAAACACGTTCATAAGAAGCAGAGACTAATGTGTAACTCCTCCTCTGTCCTGCTCCTCCTCTGTCCCTCACCTGTCCTGCTCCTCCTCTGTCCCTCACCTGTCCTGCTCCTCCTCTGTCCTGCTCCTCCTCTGTCCTGCTCCTCCTCTGTCCCGCTCCTCCTCTGTCCTGCTCCTCCTCTGCTCTGCTCCTCCTCTGCTCTGCTCCTCCTCTGCTCTGCTCCTCCTCTGCTCCTCCTCTGCTCTGCTCCTCCTCTGCTCTGCTCCTCCTGTCCCTCACCTGTCCTGCTCCTCCTCTGCTCCTCCTCTGTCCTGCTCCTCCTCTGTCCTGCTCCTCCTCTGCTCCTCCTCTGTCCCTCAGCTCTGTCGCTCCTGCAGTGGCTGCTCGGAGCCTCAGGTTCCCTGCGTCTCTCTGGATTGTCCTGTTCTGTACAAACTGTCTGGAGTCAGCAGAACGTTGGCGAGGGCGCCCTACATCCGACAGCTGCTGGAGCAGTTCTGAAGACTCTCACTGACTTCTCTGAAGACTGAAGCTTTTATCCTGTAAATATCTTTGAAGAGAGGAGGACTTTTAAGCCTGGGATTGTTGCAATAATGCCTATGTCTGTTGGACGAGGATTGTGACTGTACATAAGTGATAGTGATAGTAGGAACATGTGAAGGACCTGTTTGTAAGTGCCACTGCAGAGAAGAATTAAACTGACTTAAACTATTTACTAGATTTCTTACAGATCACTGAGCCTTGTTTCTGTTCTGGAAAAACTGAAGCAAGAAAAAGCACAATACACAAAGACATATATTTACAGTTCTGTCATTTAAAAAGACAATACCTCCAATAATAACCTTCAGCTGAACCCTGATCAGAAAGTAGTACAGATATTTTATTTTTTATTTAGTCACCAAAATGAAGTGCTTTCTGCTCCGTAGCCTAAACTTTATCAAACCTTTTTGTAATCAAAGATTCTGCCAGCAGGGGGCGCCATAACTGTGGTTTCATAGAGTTTGCTTTGCTTTTAAGTTATGGAGGATCGGAAGATTCACTTCTCAGATATAATCTGTAGCTTAGTGTTACAGGTTCTTGTCTGAAAAGCCTCTGAGGCCGAACAGCGACGTGTTTAATGGACCGTAGTTTTCAGAGGATAAGTCGCACCAGCCAAATATGAATAATAAGGAAAAAAACATGTTCGCACTAGAGAATAATCACATTTTTGGGGAATTTTATTTGATAAAATCCAACACCAAGAATTGACATTTCATCTTGAGGCAATTTGAAATAAAAACAGAACAGCAGCTGATTAAGAGACATCCACAATGAACTGAGAACATGTCGTTCAAAGACCTTTACCAAAGAATCAGCCTCATCACTAAATCCAATGAAATCTTCCTGTCACTCCTGAACAAAGACAAAAACAATGACTTTAACCAATTAAAAATGAACACCATATTTTTGGGATCATGAGCCCCTGAGGGCGGCTGCAACCGTTCCTGCTTCCTGTGAGTTTATGTGAACAGCAGAAGGAGCCGACACCAGGAAGAGTTTATGGAGTTATTACTTTTCAGGTTTAGTTGGAATGTCACAGTTTGTAAGTAAGTAAGTAAGTAATCTTTATTTATATACCGCCTTTCACAGACCAGAGTCTCAAAGCGGTTTACAATTGTTATTATTTGGGCACTTGTCTCTCACTCCACACAGAGATGGGAGCGGGGCCAGTACAGGAGGCACATGCCAGAACTATTGTGCATGTTTTTAGTGGTAGGGGAAACCAGAGTACCCGGAGGACACAGGGAGAACATGCAAACTCCACTCAGAAAGGCCCTGGTCCAGCCGGGATTCGAACCCAGGACCTTCTTGCTGAGAGGCAAGAGTGCTATCCACTCAACCACCGTGCCGTCCAGTTTTAAATGTTGTTTATTCAGAATCAATTGTTTTCTAGTCATTGTAAGTAACAGGAAGTCAAACTATGAATTTGTTTTGGCTCATGGTGCAAACAAGTTAAAGTAAAACGTCTAAAAATAGATATAAAAGTGTACATACAAAATCTTCTACGTACGGGGCACACTAGGTACACACAATAGCAGTTTGTATACAGGTGCACTTCAGTACTGTATATAAATAAATTGTCAAAATGTCTATATTTGAACCCAAGCATTAGGGTCGAAAGTGCTTCATCCTGGGGCTCCGACCACTTAGTTTACAGTGTTCAAGGCTCTTTGGACTGTTTCTCTCCTCCACAGATGTGTCATTCTTTACGGTCAGACCCCTGAGGAGAGCTGAGGCCAGTGTCCATCTCCAGATCCTCAAACTCCTCGGTCTCTGGCTGCAGCAGTGCACGACACAACTCGCTCTTGGTGTGGCCCTGGGTGCGAGACCCGGAGACCACGGCCAGTCTGTGAGCGCACGGGAAGAGGATGGAGCAGAACATGGCACAGGCCAGAGCTTGGTACATCAGCAGAGGCTTTCCACTGATATGTCCCATGAGGAAACCCAGGAGCACCGGGAGCACCATCTCCCCCAAGGCAGCTCCAACCACCAACACTGCCGCTGTGTGTCCGCTCACGGGGGTGTACTGCTCGGCCCAGGCCATCCCACTGGGGAAGACCGCCGCCATAGACACTCCATATAAAGCAGTGTTGGCCCAAAGAACAGCCCTGTGCAGAGGGAAGAGGCTGAGGAGCAGAGAGGAGGTGCAGCAGCTGACCAGACTGAGGGTGATAAGTGTCCCGGGGTACATCCATATGGCCAGGACCACAGCCAGCCCCCGGCCTCCTGCAAAACACCCCCAGAACAAAGTATTCACTCCAGCTGATTCTACTTTATCCAGTCCGGCAAAGTCTTTGGAGTAGGTGAAGATGAAGGATCCATAGGCCACCTCGGCCCCCACATACGCAAAGTAGAAGAAGAAGAGAAGGGCCACGATGGCGATGTGGTATTTAGCGACTTTAGGTTTTTCTTCTACTGCGTGAGATCGAACCCGAGAGCGAGCAGCACAAAAGAACATCCCAAAGAAGAAAAGCGCTGTGATAAAAACAAACACACCGATGAAGACGTAGGCCCACATGGAGCGACGAAGGCTCCAGCTGTGAGAGAGCTCTGTGGAGTTTGTCTGCAGTGTCAGGTTTTCTGCTGAAGTGCAGTTTGAGGACGTCTTGAACAGAAGCTGCACGATGACGGGGGAAACCAAGGCTCCGACGGCAAAACTGAAGTGTAGCGCCTGCATGTACGGCCCCGCCTCCTCGCCCCAGGTGCTCAACGCCAGAACGTTGCCGCCTGAAGACACAGGAAGTTAAGGTTACTCCAATATTGTCTGTTTTACTAATTTTACTAAAAAAGAATTATTATTTCTGTATTAAATAAGGAAATATTGTAGATTATTTTTGGCCATTGAATATATTATCTCCTTTGTCATTTTAGAATACAGTAGAAAATATGTAGTGAAACAAGTATAGGGCCATTGGCCTGCTCTATCCCTGTGCTACCACCAGAGGGAGGTGTCAAAAGTTTTTCTCCAAATTTGAAAGCTACCATAAAAAACAGTAAAAGCTTCTCTACGCTTCTGTCCTTTTAGAAGAATCTAAGCCTTAAGACATGATGAACTTTACGTTTAGTTTCTCAAATGAAAAGACAACCAAACGTAATCTAATTGAAGGGCAATACTTTTGTTCTGAGGCAGAAGTTTTGATGCCCAGTGGTACAATGACATAGTAACACAGGAGGAGCTTAGACAGAAGTGGGCGGAGCTACATGTTAGAGCCAGAAGGTCCTGATATTTATGGTAGAATCAATCAACTACATTTGTGTTGAACAAGGAGCCTTTATTAGGATTGAGCCGTACACGTCACCTGTGTCCAGGACGCCCATGGAGACGCCGATACACGCCATAAACACGGTCAGGAGCGGGGCCTGCGAGCACAGTGGGATCGCAAACGTCCCCAATGATGTCAGCAACATGGACAGACCTGAGGAGACACATTCACCAGCTCTGAGTGGTCCACATTCACCAGGTCTGAGTGGTCCACATTCACCAGCTCTGAGTGGTCCACATTCACCAGCTCTGAGTGGTCCACATTCACCAGCTCTGAGTGGTCCACATTCACCAGCTCTGAGTGGTCCACATTCACCAGCTCTGAGTGGTCCACATTCACCAGCTCTGAGTGGTCCACATTCACCAGCTCTTAGCGGCTCATACCAATGTGGAAGAGATTAAATGCTTTACAACAGGTGTCTCCAACCTTTTTCACGCAGAGAGCTACTTTCCCGGGACCATAAAGGCAGAGAGCTACTGTTACTGTTTGTTACTAGTGAAAAAGTACATTTACAGTGATCAAAAATGATCATGAATAATACAATCTGAAATATTATTTTTGGGGATTTTATTACTTTCTAAATCCTTTGGCGAGCTACAGGAAGGGGATGGAGAGCTACAGGTTGGAGACCCCTGCTTTACAAGATGCAATCATTTATCGCTGGTTCACAGTAATGTACGGAAACAGAAGCACAGGTACGAGAACACTGAGAGCCTCACCGAGCAGCAGGTGAGGATTCAGGCGCTCCACGAGGACCCCCCCCAGCAGAGACCCGCCCAGGTACCCCCCCGAGCGCCCCGCAAAGATGTACGAGATGCTACTGATGTTTCTGTGGACGTTTAAAGCCAGATCCTCGAATGTGGGACCGACGACTGCAATACACATCCCCTGGAACAGAAATCACAACATAATACACCAATCGCCTCTTGCCCCGCCCCTCTTGCCCCGCCCCTCTTGGCTGAGCCCTGCTCCTGTTAAAAGAATGTAGATGTTCTGCTTCAGCTCATGAGACTAAACCTCCTCCAGAAGAATGTCATTGGACTTGTTTTTATCATTTAAAGATATAAATTAACTTTCTCGTTCAGTTTGAATCAAACTTTCTACAGGAGGATGGTTCTCTCTGAGCTCAGACCAGAGGCATCAATTCAACTAAATTATTTGTTTGACTCAAAGCAGCCTCATTCATTATTATAATTGCAGTTAAAGCTGGGGTACCTGACTTATTTTTCAAAGAACACAAAAACATAAGTAATACAATCCACATTTAGTTTATCACAAGTTTCTTTATCATTTTGTCTCTGTCACATCTGACTTTGGCTCAGTCTGAGGACTTCTTTCAAAGACTTTAGACAAAAGTCTGATTTTTGTATAAAGTGTTCCTTCTTCTATTGTCACTGTGTGACTTAAAATGTGTGCCTTGTATTTAGGCTAAAGTTAGAGCTTTTTATACTTAATTCTTTTGTATTAAACTAAAGCTGGAGATTTAATTTATTTGATTAATAATTTATTTATCTTGTCTGCACTATGAACCATGATCTTGAATCAAATCAATTCCTTGTTTGTAACTTCCTGTTATTGGCAGTAAAAAAAATCTGATTATCACTTTCTCAGCCTGAGACAAACACGAAGGTGAGATGCATCAGACCCATAGACTGTTTATATTTATCAGACCGAACCAGTCTCCAGAACAGTACTATTATTATTATTATTATTGTATGATATATATTTATGATGAATTCTGCAGGTGTTGTATTTACCAGCCCCAGGAAGGAGGCTCCCAGAGCAGCGGTGCTGAGCCCGCGGCCCCTCGGGGCTGCAGCCGCCTCTCGTGGGCCTCTGTCCGGGTGTAGCTCCTGGTCACAGTCGGTGTCAAAGAACCGCTCATGTCCCGCGGTGTCCTCCGCCATCACGGAAACGGGAATGGTCGAGAGTGCGTTTGTTTCATGGATCTGTCAGTCTCTGGAGCGCTACGGAAAGCCACATGGGTCAGACTTCAGATAAACCACGTGACGTCTATGGCGCTAACCCAAACCCTAAAGCTCGGGTGCGTGACTTTAAAACCTACAAAATGGAGCGAAATCATTGAATCCAAACAACTTCTTCTCAGTTTAATCAGTTTGTTGCAGACTGAAAATGGTCTAAGTTTCCACGTGCACGGATTTTGGCACCAATCCATAGACTGGAATGCTGACGTCACCAATAGTGATTTGAATAATACTAATAATATTAGTAATAAAATAATCATAATAGTAATATACATTATCAATAATAATATTCCACATTAAGATTCCATCTCCACTTGTACCAGACAGAATAATGCAACACAAACTTGAAACCCCAGGGGGCGCTATATCATAACATCAAGACACGGTGAAAACACAGACATCGGCTGCACAGGGTTTAAAGTAGAAGTGTATTTATTATTATCTGTCTGTGGCAGTTTGTAGCTTGTTGGTCCTGTTTCCTACGACATGAGGCAGTCTTCTTCATCATTAACACACAAAATAAATGTACAAAGGCATCGTAAATTCATTTTATTTTACTAGGCTCAAATATGAAAAGTTTACATTTCATATGTTCAAAAATATATAAAAGTTTGCCTCTCAAGACATCAAAAATATTACAATAAAGCATTAAACATCATCATACACGACTCAAAAAGAACTCTCTGGTTTTCCAACGATCTGGGACCAGAGAAGAGGCACTTTGGTTACGGCACTTTGGTTACGGCACTTTGGTTACGGCACTTTGGTTACGGCACTTTGGTTACGGCACTTTGGTTACGGCACAGTCAAGTAAATCCCGACACTGAAGCTGGGGCTGGGGCAGAAAGGCGACATGTGACAATCGTTCCTATTGCAGCAGATAAAATAAACTTTACAGATGGAAACACAACCGGCTCCAAACCTGCGGCACTTTGGACCCACCAGGAACAGATAAGACACCTGTGATTAAAGGGGAGGTGCCTGATCTAGAACGGACAGACGCAGGTGACGTGTCCGGTCTGCAAATGATTTAAGACAAAGTAGCGTCTAAGTATTTTTTTGCATATAAAAACTGTTACACATGGGCGTGTAAATACTGTTGTGGTAAATCTCCAACAGAAGAACAACCCAAAACAATTTACAATAATCACAGAGCTGCTACCGACTTCTAAATATTGAATGATCATAACTTGGGTTTTTATACTAGTCAGATCCTGTACGTGAGCTTATATTGCAAATACTGGTTTTTTTCAATGTGGTTTTACCGTTTTACCGCAAAGTTGCACCAAGTCATGAAAAAATAAGACTTTAGTAAAACGTGTTGAGAATATATCGTAGTAAACAATTGAACTTACGTACACTTAAGTATACTCTGAAATGAATTAATTACTAACACATATATAAAATAAACAGCCATCTTGTTTTGGTGTCCAGCCAGTGTGACGCTGAGCTGCTTCCTCTGTGCACAGCAACACAACAACACAACAACACAACAACACAACAACACAATTCTCTGCGTCCCGACAAAACGCAGACTTCAGCCAGTTTCCGGTTCCTCCTTCTCCGTGGTTTAACTGTTTTGTTTCGTAGTCTCTCGTCTACAGAACAGACTCTCCCGCTCTGGGCTCGGCCTTTTCTGAGTCCAACATCTTCTCGGTGACGTCCTTCTCTCGTTCTTGTGCTTCCTGTCGTTTGCGTCGCGCCTCCACCCACGGGATCAGACACAGCACCGCGCCCCCCACCATCGGAGGGATGCCAGCCAGGTAGAAGGCCAGGTCGTAGCTGCCCAGGCGGTCCCTCAGGAAGCCTGGAGCAAGAAAGTCAGCTTAACTTCAGTAGAACCACAGGGATCCAAACAGAAGTCCTGGGACCACATAGATCATAACATGCGAAAGAAGCCCATTTGAACATAAATCAGACGGAGCCAAGTTCTTGACACAGTTTGACACAAAGGCACTTCGTCCATGAGCACTTCCCTATTGGGATTCTAACCCATGAGCTAGCAAGTAAGCAAGGCCCACCTACTGTATATACAGTCATTTTTCCTCTCTTTTTTCTGTCTCTCTCTGGTCTTTCTGACTCTGGTCTCTCTCCCTATATGTCTGGCCTCTCTCTGGTTTCTCTCTGGTTTCTCTCTGGTTTCTCTCTGGTTTCTCTCTGGTTTCTCTCTCTGGTTTCTCTCTCTGGTTTCTCTCTCTGGTTTCTCTCTCTGGTATCTCTCTGGTTTCTCTCTCTGGTTTCTCTCTCTGGTTTCTCTCTGGTTTCTCTCTGGTTTCTCTCTCTGGTTTCTCTCTCTGGTCTCTCTCTCTGGTCTCTCTCTGGTTTCTCTCTGGTTTCTCTCTGGTTTCTCTCTCTGGTTTCTCTCTCTGGTTTCTCTCTCTGGTTTCTCTCTCTGGTATCTCTCTGGTTTCTCTCTGGTTTCTCTCTCTGGTTTCTCTCTCTGGTTTCTCTCTCTGGTTTCTCTCTCTGGTCTCTCTCTCTGGTCTCTCTCTGGTCTCTCTCTCTCTCTGGTTTCTGGTTTCTCTCTCTGGTTTCTCTCTCTGGTCTCTCTCTCTCTGGTTTCTCTCTCTGGTTTCTCTCTCTGGTCTCTCTCTCTGGTCTCTCTCTGGTCTCTCTCTGGTCTCTCTCTCTGGTCTCTCTCTCTGGTCTCTCTCTCTGGTCTCTCTCTGGTCTCTCTCTGGTTTCTCTCTCTGGTCTCTCTCTCTCTGGTCTCTCTCTCTGGTCTCTCTCTGGTCTCTCTCTGGTCTCTCTCTGGTCTCTTTCTCTGTGTTATAAACCATCAGAGTGTGTAGTACCATGTGTGTGATACCATCAGAGTGAGTACCTGCTATGGGGGGTCCCACGGTCATGGGCACAGACATCAGCCCCAGTAAGAAGCCGATGGCCTGGGACACGTCGTCCGCCCCCACCAGCTCGAAGGCGATGGGGGCCATGATGCAGATGAAGCAGCCGTCGAAGAGGCCCATGAGGAGGCACACCCCGATGAGGCCCCCGAAGAGGTCACAGAGCGGGATCATCATGGACATGAAGCCGATCACCAGGAACGAGGACACCTGCGGGACAGCCAGGGCTCAGGAAGTGAAGTCTGGTCTGGTCTGGTCTGGTGTACTACGGCTGTAGATTAGCAGCAGTGCTAATCTACAGCTGTAGTCCCTGAGCAGGAGTTAGCAGCAGTGCTAATCTACAGCCGTAGTCCCTGAGCAGGAGTTAGCAGCAGTGCTAATCTACAGCTGTAGTCCCTGAGCAGGAGTTAGCAGCAGTGCTAATCTACAGCCGTAGTACCTGAGCAGGAGTTAGCAGCAGTGCTAATCTACAGCTGTAGTTCCTGAGCAGGAGTTAGCAGCAGTGCTAATCTACAGCCGTAGTCCCTGAGCAGGAGTTAGCAGCAGTGCTAATCTACAGCTGTAATTCTTGAGCAGGAGTTAGCAGCAGTGCTAATCTACAGCTGTAATTCTTGAGCAGGAGTTAGCAGCAGTGCTAATCTACAGCTGTAGTCCCTGAGCAGGAGTTAGCAGCAGTGCTAATCTACAGCTGTAGTCCCTGAGCAGGAGTTAGCAGCAGTGCTAATCTACAGCCGTAGTCCCTGAGCAGGTTGTTGTAAAACAGTAAAATAAAAGTAGAATGAGACATTATCAGACAGAAGTTATAATAAAATAAGTGTTTGTGGCGCCTCCAGTGGCTGCTGCTGATATTGTAGTTCATGGATGTCCAAACTGGGGGCCGCGGCCCTCTGTGTCTTGGTAAACCTAAAGTAGTCTTTGAGGCCGCCACAGTCCGACCGTCGTGGCTCATTTGAAAGCTCACGCCTGGGTTCAGTCTAAACCGGTTAAATGACTTCTGTGTCAATAACCAGGAGGCGCCAACGTTTACCGAGGAAATGTGAACGTTCTTCTCCCAGTCACAGAGCACCAGCCCCTGGTCCTCTGCAGGTGCTGAGTCCACAGAGCACCAGCCCCTGGTCCTCTGCACTGGGTCCACAGAGCACCAGCCCCTGGTCCTCTGCAGGTGCTGAGTCCACAGAGCACCAGCCCCTGGTCCTCTGCAGGTGCTGAGTCCACAGAGCACCAGCCCCTGGTCCTCTGCAGGTGCTGGGTCCACAGAGCACCAGCCCCTGGTCCTCTGCAGGTGCTGAGTCCACAGAGCACCAGCCCCTCACTGGTCCTCTGCAGGTGCTGAGTCCACAGAGCACCAGCCCCTGGTCCTCTGCAGGTGCTGGGTCCACAGAGCACCAGCCCCTGGTCCTCTGCAGGTGCTGAGTCCACAGAGCACCAGCCCCTGGTCCTCTGCAGGTGCTGAGTCCACAGAGCACCAGCCCCTCACTGGTCCTCTGCAGGTGCTGAGTCCACAGAGCACCAGCCCCTGGTCCTCTGCAGGTGCTGAGTCCACAGAGCACCAGCCCCTGGTCCTCTGCAGGTGCTGAGTCCACAGAGCACCAGCCCCTCACTGGTCCTCTGCAGGTGCTGAGTCCACAGAGCACCAGCCCCTGGTCCTCTGCAGGTGCTGAGTCCACAGAGCACCAGCCCCTGGTCCTCTGCAGGTGCTGGGTCCACAGAGCACCAGCCCCTGGTCCTCTGCAGGTGCTGAGTCCACAGAGCACCAGCCCCTGGTCCTCTGCAGGTGCTGAGTCCACAGAGCACCAGCCCCTCACTGGTCCTCTGCAGGTGCTGAGTCCACAGGAGGCTGCTCTGTCAGTGTGAGCACAGCCTTGATCTTTCAGCGGGGGCTTTGGGCAAAGTGGGGTTGAGTGTCTTGCCCAAGGACACAATGACAGCAGACACCTTCAGGCCTAAAGGCCATTGCTCTACCAACCATACTTTAGTATGAAGTTAGTAAGTTAAAGTAACTCACCTGGAGGTAGACCTTGTTGACGCCAGGAACATAATCAGCGACTCGTCCAAAAATGAGGCGACCGACTCCGGACGTGATCCCAATGCACATGAGCAGCACCTCCTTGTTGGCCTCTTTCCCAAAGCGCTCCTCCACGTGCTTCATCTGGGATCATCAGGGAACAGTCATCAGGGAACAGTCATCAGGGAACAGTCATCAGAGAACAGTCATCAGGGAACAGTCATCAGGGAACAGTCATCAGGGAACAGTCATCAGGGAACAGTCATCAGGGAACAGTCATCAGGGAACAGTCATCAGGAAACAGTCATCAGGGAACAGTCATCAGGGAACAGTCATCAGGAAACAGTCATCAGGGAACAGTCATCAGGAAACAGTCATCAGGAAATAGTCATCAGGGAACACACATCAGGGAACAGTCATCAGGGAACAGTCATCAGAGAACAGTCATCAGGGAACAGTCATCAGGGAACAGTCATCAGAGAACAGTCATCAGGGAACAGTCATCAGGAAACAGTCATCAGGAAACAGTCATCAGGGAACAGTCATCAGGGAACAGTCATCAGGGAACAGTCATCAGAGAACAGTCATCAGGGAACAGTCATCAGGAAACAGTCATCAGGGAACAGTCATCAGGGAACAGTCATCAGGAAACAGTCATCAGGGAACAGTCATCAGGGAACAGTCATCAGGGAACAGTCATCAGGGAACACACATCAGGGAACAGTCATCAGGGAACAGTCATCAGGGAACAGTCATCAGAGAACAGTCATCAGAGAACAGTCATCAGGGAACACACATCAGGGAACAGTCATCAGGGAACAGTCATCAGGGAACAGTCATCAGGGAACACACATCAGGGAACAGTCATCAGGGAACAGTCATCAGGGAACAGTCATCAGGGAACAGTCATCAGGGAACAGTCATCAGGGAACAGTCATCAGGGAACAGTCATCAGAGAACAGTCATCAGGGAACAATCATCAGGGAACAGTCATCAGGGAACAATCATCAGGGAACAGTCATCAGGGAACAATCATCAGGGAACAATCATCAGGGAACAATCATCAGGGAACAATCATCAGGGAACAGTCATCAGGGAACAGTCATCAGGGAACAGTCATCAGGGAACAGTCATCAGGGAACAGTCATCAGGGAACAGTCATCAGAGAACAGTCATCAGGGAACAGTCATCAGGAAACAGTCATCAGGGAACAGTCATCAGGGAACAGTCATCAGGAAACAGTCATCAGGAAACAGTCATCAGGGAACACACATCAGGGAACAGTCATCAGAGAACAGTCATCAGAGAACAGTCATCAGGGAACAGTCATCAGGGAACAGTCATCAGGGAACACACATCAGGGAACAGTCATCAGGGAACAGTCATCAGGGAACAGTCATCAGGGAACAGTCATCAGAGAACAGTCATCAGGGAACAATCATCAGGGAGCAGTCATCAGGGAACAGTCATCAGGGAACAGTCATCAGGGAACAATCATCAGGGAACAATCATCAGGGAACAATCATCAGGGAACAGTCATCAGGGAACAGTCATCAGGGAACAGTCATCAGGGAACACACATCAGGGAACACACATCAGGGATCAGGGACCGCAGCGGCACCAGGAGGGAACTCATGTTTGTGTTTACATTAAGACCAACTCGACCATAACTCACTTCCTGCTGCTTTTCACTTTGTATTTTAACTAAATGTTCTTTTTACTTGATGTAAAGTGACCGTGAGTCTCATTATACATTATTATTGTAAGTAATGTTTATTTATAGAGCTGGGAGGGGCCAGTACAGGAGGCGCAGACCCATTGTACATGTTTTTAGTGTAAACCGGAGCACCTGGAGGAAACCGTAGCAGACACGGGGAGAACATGCAAACTGCACTCAGAAATGCCCTGTTTCATGTTTTGATCATTCAGACGCGCTCGAAATGTAGGAACCTTTTGTTTGTTCCATCAATGAAGAGGTGTTGGGGGAATGGTTGTCTGTTGTGTCCTTGGGCAAGACCCTAACCCTAACCCACCCTAATGCCCCGAACTATCTAATGCCCCGAACTATCTAATGCCCCGAACTATCTAATGCCCCGAACTATCTAATGCCCCAAACTATCTAATGCCCCGAACTATCTAATGCCCCAAACTATCTAATGCCCCGAACTATCTAATGCCCCGAACTATCTAATGCCCTGATCTAATGCCCCGAACTATCTAATGCCCGAACTATTGATCTAATGCCCTACAGTCGGTCTTATCCCCGGAGAGTGTCTGCAGGAGTCGTTTAGAGCGACAGGACTTTGCTCTTCCATCTGGGCACAGAGCCTTTGAAAAGTGCCAGCTCAGCACTTTCTACAGGAAGCACTCAGCAAACTCCAAGGAGCTAAAAAACAAGTAGTGATGTGTTTCCTTCCTCTGTCTCTGGCTCCACAGAGTCAGAGTCATCAGTTTGTCCCGTGTTAAGGACGTGTGGGTTTATTGACAAAAAGAAAAAGGTTTTGAAGATGGTGATTATGGACATTTAAATGAACACTAAAGATGTGACGCTGAGAGTGAGAAAAACTGACTCTGGAGGTCGGGACTCGCCTTTTACTTTTCACTGCAAAATGTGAGAAAAATAAGTAAAAAATGGCTCAAATTTGGCTAAATGTGTCTTATTCTGAGCACATTGTGACTGAGCCTTAAAACTAGATTCACCAATGGGACAAAACAAAATGATCTAGTTTTAAAAAGACAAATGTCTTCTTTGGAATGAGGAAATAAAGCAACAGTTCATGAAATGAAACCAAATGTGTTTGTCCCGTTGGAGAATCTGGTTCAATGAAGATTAAAAACCAGTCCTTAAAGTATTTATCACTTCAGTGAGTGGTGTGAATTTTAAGTACAGTAAGTTTGGAGATGGAAGTGTTGTTTTTGTCGTACTGTTTGTTCAATGTTTGTTTGAAGAATATCTAAAACTGTAATTATAATCATGAATGGAGATCGCTGAGCCTAATATATGAACAATATATGAACGTTGTCTGTGGTCAGGAGCGGAGAGAGTAAATGACTTTCCCAAAGATCACACTTTTGGACACATAAGAACACGCCCAAATATGAATTTGTTTACATACCCACAGTCAGATAAAGAAGATCGGTTGGATTAGTCACATATTGCTCAATTGGGAATGCCCAAGCTTAGCGCTCTCTCTCTCTCTCTCTGTGTCTCTGTGTCTCTCTGTCTCTGTCTCTCTCTGTCTCTCTCTCTCTCTCTCTCTCTCTCTCTCTCTGTCTCTCTCTCTCTCTCTCTCTCTCTCTCTCTCTCTCTCTCTCTCTCTCTCTCTCTCTCTCTCTCTCTCTCTCTCTCTCTCTCTCTCTCTCTCTCTCTCTCTCTCTCTCTCTCTCTCTCTCTCTCTCTCTCTCTCTCTCTCTCTCTCTCTCTCTCTCTCTCTCTCTCTCTCTCTCTCTCTCTCTCTCTCTCTCTCTCTCTCTCTCTCTCTCTCTCTCTCTCTCTCTCTCTCTCTCTCGTTTTATTGAGCAAGTGGGTTAGCATTGTCCATCTGTATATGGCACGCACATGCACACACTCTCCAACACACACACACAAAGACGCACACACACTCTCACACAGACACACAGACAGAGACATACACACACACACACACACACACAAACGCACACACACACACACACACACACACACAGACACACACACACACACACACACACACACACACACACAGACACACACAATAAGAAGTCAGCCCCGGACCAATCAATTGTCCAGATCCAGAAATGTCAGTGAACATGGGATTCCCCCCAAACAAAAGCGCACTTGTAATAATTGGGGATATTTGGGAGTCAGCCAGAAGAGAGAGCCAGAAGAGAGAGCCAGAAGAGAGAGCCAGAAGAGAGAGCCAGAGGAGAGAGCCAGAAGAGAGAGCCAGAAGAGAGAGCCAGAGGAGAGAGCCAGAAGAGAGAGTCAGAGGAGAGAGCCAGAAGAGAAAGCCAGAGGAGAGAGCCAGAGGAGAGAGCCAGAAGAGAGAGCCAGAAGAGAGAGCCAGAAGAGAGAGCCAGAAGAGAGAGCCAGAAGAGAGAGCCAGAGGAGAGAGCCAGAGGAGAGAGCCAGAGGAGAGAGCCAGAAGAGAGAGCCAGAAGAGAGAGCCAGAAGAGAGAGCCAGAGGAGAGAGCCAGAAGAGAGAGCCAGAAGAGAGAGCCAGAAGAGAGAGCCAGAGAAGAGAGCCAGAGGAGAGAGCCAGAAGAGAGAGCCAGAAGAGAGAGCCAGAGGAGAGAGCCAGAAGAGAGAGCCAGAAGAGAGAGCCAGAAGAGAGAGCCAGAAGAGAGAGCCAGAAGAGAGAGCCAGAAGAGAGAGCCAGAGGAGAGAGCCAGAGGAGAGAGCCAGAAGAGAGAGCCAGAGGAGAGAGCCAGAGGAGAGAGCCAGAGAAGAGAGCCAGAGAAGAGAGCCAGAAGAGAGAGCCAGAAGAGAGAGCCAGAGAGAGAGCCAGAGGAGAGAGCCAGAAGAGAGAGCCAGAAGAGAGAGCCAGAAGAGAGAGCCAGAAGAGAGAGCCAGAAGAGAGAGCCAGAAGAGAGAGCCAGAGGAGAGAGCCAGAGGAGAGAGCCAGAGGAGAGAGCCAGAGGAGAGAGCCAGAGGAGAGAGCCAGAGGAGAGAGCCAGAAGAGAGAGCCAGAGGAGAGAGCCAGAGGAGAGAGCCAGAAGAGAGAGCCAGAGGAGAGAGCCAGAGGAGAGAGCCAGAGGAGAGAGCCAGAAGAGAGAGCCAGAAGAGAGAGCCAGAAGAGAGAGAGTCCAGAGGAGAGAGCCAGAGGAGAGAGCCAGAAGAGAGAGAGTCAGAGGAGAGAGCCAGAAGAGAGAGCCAGAAGAGAGAGAGTCAGAGGAGAAGAGTCAGAGGAGAGAGCCAGAGGGAGAGCCAGAGGAGAGAGCCAGAGGAGAGAGCCAGAGGAGAGAGCCAGAGGAGAGAGCCAGAAGAGAGAGCCAGAGGAGAGAGCCAGAGGAGAGAGCCAGAGGAGAGAGCCAGAGGAGAGAGCCAGAGAGAGAGCCAGAAGAGAGAGCCAGAAGAGAGAGCCAGAGGAGAGAGCCAGAAGAGAGAGAGTCAGAAGAGAGAGCCAGAGGAGAGAGCCAGAAGAGAGAGAGTCAGAGGAGAGAGC